TATAAATTGGAAACTTTCTGTAACTATATGCGTGTCTGTATACATTGTACCCCTATTATTTCTCTGAAGTCTTCGGTTCCCCCTAGTCTCAGACTTAAATGTCTTCAATACTTTCAATTGTGATTAATGCGTTCAATCTTTTAACAGTTATTGCTCAGCTGCGATTTCGTAACGACCTTGCTGCACATTGTCTGCGATATGTGTGGAATGAAGAAATCTTCAACACTTCCTGGATGGCTAGAGAATGCAATATAATGAGAGGCAGCGTCATGCAACTCCAGATTATTTGAACTTCACTCAGGAAACATGGGAAGTTATACACATGTATCAAACATCATTATTGTTGTATGATATCCATTTCTGCGAAAATATGCCAACATAAGCAACAACAATGTCTTCCCATATCATTCTTGTGCGATCTTTGCAAAAATAAAAGTAGACCAATATGGGGGCTTCATAAAATTACTGTTACATATATCGTGCAAAACACGAAGAAAAATTCAGTACGTTTCTTGTTTGCTTGACTTCATACTACTCGTTCTTAGACTTCAGGAAGTTCTTCATGATCCCCATCATCTAACTTACTGTTAATCGTTCTTAGACTTCAGGAAGTTCTTCATGATCCCCATCATCTAACTTACTGTTAATCTCCCAAGACAAGAACTGAATGACTTCCATCTCCACTAATTGCCTTGCGTGCTCTCTTTTCTTCCATTAATTCCTCTTCATTCATGTCTTCTCCTGCTTTTACACAAGAAGGGAAAAGTTATCAAGGGATGTTTCCATAACTTTAGCTTCTCCCTCGGCAGTGGCGGAGCCACCCTTGTTCAAGGTGGTTCCCTTGAACCACCTCAGTTTTAGAAATAGTCCATACATAATATACATATCAGTAATGTACTAAAAGTTGTTTCTATCCCAGCGGCAATGAGCATGGTATAAAAATAGTTACTTCAGGAGGTCTTGTGTTCAATACTTAGGCCTTTCATTATTGCATTTAGAATCTCAATTTTATTCTTCATTCTTTGTTTTCACTCTACTTTTTTTGCGTCTAAACCTTTTTTTTCTCTCTTTTCTAAGTTTTACCGGCCTTCTAATCATCATCTTTTTATGAAGATAAGTTAAATTATTGTTTTTATATATTTACTACTGTATTTTCTTCTTTTTGTTATTTTCTCCTCTATTTCTTTTTATTCCTATTTATTTCTTGATTTTACTACTGTATTTTCTTCTTTTTGTTATTTTCTCCTCTATTTCTTTTTATTCCTATTTATTTCTTGATTTTCCCCCTACGATTAATTGAAAAATTTTTAAGGTTCATTTTGAACCACCACTCAAGAGGTTGTAGATCTGTCCCTCGGCAGTCGGCACCGACAAAGTCCCTTAGTTTACATAATGCAAATGGGACAGGCTCAAAGCTAGGGTCTCGGTATTCTACGGGTGTTTGGTGGTCGCAGGCGATGCAGAGATAATAATGGAGTTTCCTGGGGATCCTTCTGCTTAGCCAGAGGAGCTTTGCTGGCCGTCCGATGGGCTTTGTCAACAGCTTCTAAACCTCGGAGCTTCTGCATGCTTGGCTCGTCATGACCAGCGTCGTCTATTGCCTGCAACGTTTTAGAATCTCTATAAGAACATAAGATCAGGTATTTTGCGGAAAATACAGTGGAAAGCAAGTAACCTAGTGGAAAACAATAATTGATGCACCATATATTGTTCTAATATCAAAGCAAATGATCTTGCATGGGCGGAATAAATGCTATCTCTGATGCTAAGTTCTTAAAAGGTTTGCTTGTGAGAAATTTTTTTCCCCAAGAAAAATGAGCTTTTAATGCGTTATTGGCACTCTTAAATGCCCTTTTTCTTAAATAAAAAATTTGAATTATGTTTCACCCACGTATACACATGCTCGGTAGCAAATCTACTCCTCTCTACTTAAAAGGAGAACCCCAAGAATTATTTATTGTAGCATGAACAACAAATTAGTCTGCTTCTCTACACTCGAAGTTACTGTTTATGTTACAGTATTTTACTGTTGTATAAACAGTAAGTCGTATCTGCTCCTCCATACTTGAGGTTACTATTAATGCTACAGTATTATTATTGTGTGATAAACGATAAAGCAAATGAAACTTGGATCCTTCTTTAAGTATAGAGGAATAAATATAATTTCGAAATCAAATGTATTGACCCTTCTTTTAAGTATGGATGAATAAATATGGTTTCTAATTTTAAGCGTAGAGTAATTACATCAAATGTATTAAAACTTAGAGGGAGGCAAGTTCAAAATACATTGCTTTAAAAAAAAAAGGGGTCGTGTTTTGCACAGGGTGCACACTGACACTAAAGAAAAAAAAAAGCGGCATCCAAAAACACAGGGGTCTAGCGGGGAAAAAAAGTTCGGTAATCTTAAGGAAGCAGTCTTACTCGCCAGCTTTTGTTCAAGCACATTTTTTTTTACCTATGCTTTTGCCCTGCAACGGGAAATTTGCAACTTCTAACCAAATTTGTAATCAGAAGAGCACTGAATTGGAAGTAACACACAAAACAAAGCGTTCTTTGGTCTGAAGTAGAGCGTGTATCTCTGAAAGCTCTGAAATTTTTCCTTTTTTGCCCCCCTCCCCGAAAATTTTGCTTCTTGGGGATGTAAATTTAGCTTCAATCCTCAGCAGAGCAAGGGAGTAGAAAAGGTGGCAGCTTTATGAACAAACGGCAGCATCAGAAATCGTCTTGAAGTTTTTTCATTGGGCCTTTGGCGGGTTTCGTTTCTTAATCCACAATAAAAACAAGCCCAATAACAAAATACTAAACATGTGTTCCCTTATTCTCCCTCTCCAGATGGAAAGTATAATAAAAAGGGGGAAAGTAAGAAATTTTTGGGACAAAGAGAGAAGATTTCCAGGATGAGGATGGCAATCTCACGCTTGATCCACTCGCAGTCCCCGCTCTCTCGATTCCGGTAATTTCTAACTTTCTAACATTTCTATGGAGCTAATTGCAAATTCTTTTGTTTTTAGATTGTGAAGATACCAATTTGGGGGTAATTCTTATATTGGGTTTTATTTGGTCAGTAGTTTGGATTGAACTGATTATGAGTTTGATGCAGCAGACTAGCTTTTGCACAAAGTGGGAGGTTGCTGTCAACCGAATCGAATCGTGGGGATGAACCCTTCAAAGATCAGGAAGCAGAGCCTGTTAATGTGCCACCTCCTCCTTCAGAGAAGGTGGAGAGAGGATAAAGTGCTCTAAAATTTGATGTTGCTATCACACTTTTTGATAATCTTCTTATGTTTCTGTGTATATGCATTTTGTTTCAGTTGCTTGTTTTGGGTGGAAACGGCTTTGTTGGTTCGCATGTTTGTGAAGAAGCTTTGAAGCATGGTCTGTCTGTTTCGAGCTTGAGCAGGTATTCGTACATCGAAAATTATGTTGAACATAATGTTATTGCCCATCTTTTTTTATAATGTATATCTTTGTGGTAGATAGCAAAGGGAAAGGAGAGTAAATGCTAGAAAAGTTAGGCATAGTTTGCAACCTAGACGTACATTTGGGAAGCAGACTGAAAGTCACAAATTCAAATGTAGAGAAAGGGTGAATGGGGTTTACAGAATGAATAGCCGATTTAGATTTGAGCGATGCAAACACGCGATAATATAAACAGACTAGTAAACGAAGCAATAGAGTATGAAGAGAATGTTAGAGATAAAGAGAGAACGAAGAATTTATGCGTGATGTGTAGTAGTTTGTCCTTCAATGTGCTATATCCACTACCCAGTGTCTTTCTGTAAGGCTGTGCAACCACCAACGCCCACATCCTTTGTGTTGAATTTTCACTTGGTGAATGGATGACCTAACCCCAAACCGACCCAGTAATTTCAGGTATCGATACTATAGTCATAATCAGGTATGCTTTGATATAGTCATAATCAGCTATACTTTGAAATTGCGTTAACCCACCTAGACTGGAAAATAACTGTTCGTGTATGAGTTTGTATCCCCTTGACTGGTTTAACCCACCTAACCTAGTTAATTATCGTGCCAGATTAACCCAAGTTGCTTGTTGCTTCTGGTTTTGTTTTTATGATATCCTTTTGGTCTCTGTTTTATTCAAATTTTCTTGCTTCTGCATTTATCAGATAATCTCAGATATATCAGTCTTCACGTGTCTGAATTTTAGTATTTTCTCTTTTCCCCTCAGGTCAGGAAGGTCATCCATAAGAGAACCTTGGGCTGATAAAGTTGTGTGGCACCAAGGTTGAACATATAAAAGGGGCACACTACATTGCTGTTGTTATTAAACTTACGGGTCTTTAATTAATTAATTCTTATGTTTCTTTTTTGGTAGGAAGCCTTCTTATACCTGATTCCTTAAAGGATGTTATGAACGGTGTGTCAGCTGTGGTATGTTTTCTTCCTTGTATCTACTTCATTCTCATGGTCACGGCACTACAAATATGCTTGTGCCCAAGAAAAGTTATATAAACCGGGAAAGGTCAATTGCTGTGATGAATCATTCCTCATCATTACGACATATATGAATATGAATGACTAGTTTCATGAGCTGTTTTTCACATTTCTACGCCAGCTTTTCTTTTCCTAGAGTGTGAGAATGGCGGAGGCATTGGTGATGTTGGCAGTCAAGTGGTACATATTGTGTTGTATGGAGCCTCTACGATGGGGATGTTCTCATTGAATATAGTGGCCAGTTTTGGAAGTTGACTTCATGGGAGAATAACACCTGCAGACTGCAGCTTCTTCCGTCTTCTTTTAGCTTCTAATTTACTCCTTGGATTATTCCGAATAAATTTATAACCATAGCTTCCCTCCTGTTTTACAACCAAAAGCAACCAGTGGGATAACACAAAAAATGTTGAGGAGTTTATTTGTGTATCATATGTAAATATACTATCATGTCTCTACTCTTTTATTAGAGGGTCCATCATTATTAGCTAAATATTACTGTTTATTCTTGCAGATATCATGTGTTGGAGGCTTTGGATCTAACTCTCATATGTACAAGATAAATGGGACTGCAAACATCAATGCCATCAGAGCTGCTGCTGAAACGGGTTTTTATTTTTATTTTATTTTTTTATAGTTATTGATGATCATTATTCTTTGGCAGTGAGTTTTTTGGTTTATGATTTTGGTAATGTACTTTTAGGAGATTTTGGGGTTTTTGTGCATTTGGAGGCTACCTTCATCTGGCAAACTTCAAATTGCCAGCATAGTTAACTATTAGTGTTCCTTAGAAATTATTTTAAACAGCACTACCACAGAAAATCTATATACCATGACCTTGGAGCTACTTATATGGATCCTTTTCCTTTCTTTGTTACTATTAAGAGTCTCCTTTAGCAGCGACTCTTAAATCTGATCAATTTCTGCTCTCTCATGGGTAGGGGTGAAAAGAGTTGTATATATTTCGGCTGCGGATTTTGGCGTGGTAAATTATTTATTACAAGGATATTACGAGGGAAAGGTACTCTTCGCATACAAATTATTCAGTTTGCTCTGCCTATCTTGGCAAGTTGAAGTTGTATGCCAGTGATGCATCTAAAATTTCTAATATTTTGCAATTTAAATAGAATTGAGATGCATGATTACCTGGATGTGGTAGTCTTAAACTCTCCATGCCTTGAAAATCATGTCTAAGAAGGGCTTTTTGTCACCTACAGCCATTCTGAAGCTGTTTAGTGTTAAAATCTGTATGTCCTTTATTTATTTAAGGATAGAGATTATATTTAGTCATGTAATGTGGATCCATAAAATTCTGTAGATTTAGCTGGTCAATTGTTTTGACAACAATAAGTTAAAGTCTACTGGTAAATTGGTTTGTCACTTGTGTAGCAATAAGTTTTTCTTTGCTTTCTGCATGAGTGGTATGTTGAAGTATATATCATCTGTGAGAATGGTAAGTTCAATAATCAATGAGGTCGATGACATTGAGAACTAGTCGAGAAATGCTGCATATTGTGCAATTCTATTAAATATTCTTAGTTTAACCAGTTTAGCTTTGTGTATTATGAATTAACAGTTTGTTTATTTTACAATAAAACATTACTAAGAAAAATTGGTAATTGATGTCACAGAGAGCTGCTGAAGCAGAACTGTTATCGAGATTTGCATATGGAGGTCAGTTTACTCGATCTTAGTTTTTCAAAGTCCAGGAATTGGTTTTTCAGGTATTGATAATGTATTTGCATTTGTGTTCCACTAAAATAGACACCACAAATACATATAAATTGGGCATAAATGGTTGAAACTAGTCCACTCCCTTTCAATGTTTGTTGTACATTTAAACATTTGTGAGTTCCTTAACTTTAAGTTGTTCATGGCTATCATCTCAATTGATGACTTTTTTCAATCTCGTCTTCATGCCATTAAGAACCAGTGTTTCATTGTTATGAACTCTGAAATGCGTAGCCAATGAATAAGATAACAGTCCGAGTTGACATTTTCTATGCAGGAGTAATACTTAGACCTGGTTTCATTCATGGAACTCGCCAAGTTGGGAGCATGAAGTTACCACTAGGTGTCATTGGTTCACCCCTCGAGATGGTACGTCCCTCCTTTTCTCTTAGTATCACAAACTTGCACATCTTACAGTTATCCCGCAAGTCTTCAATAATTCCATTTTAGTCTCTCAGATCTTTGAAATTGCTCATCAGTCCCTGACACCCTAATGGGGTCATGCAATTTGGTCCCTCAATGATGATAATAGCCCTCTTTTTATGTTCCCCGCCAGTACCCTCTTGTTCAAAAAGGAAAACATTAGCTGAGGGGTTATTTTGGTCATCGGGGGACCAAATTGCAAGATCCCTTAGGATTTGAGGGACTAACATGTAAAATAACCCCAAATTTTAATGGATTAACATTGCAAACAACTTATATGTTTCTGTACAGGCTCTTAAGCAAGCAAAGCCGTTGAATTGTCTCCCACTTGTGGGCCCTCTCTTTACTCCTCCTGTGAGTGCTTCTGCAGTCGCAAAAGTTGCTGTCAGGGCTGCGACTGATCCAGTGTTTCCTCCTGGTATAGTTGATGCCTATGGCATCCTCAGGTACAGTGAGCAGCACAAGTGAAGCAGAGATGCATGTTTTTTGCAGAATGTTGCAGCAATAAAAATCGTAGATTCCTGAAATTTCTGGGTTTTCTTTTTTTTTTCTTTTTGTTTTGTAATGATCATGAGATGTAGATAACTACGATAAGTTTTGTTGTCGTTCATGTTGTTGAAATATTGTTGTGTTTTGCAATAGTTGAATTAAATGGGAACAAGAAATGTTACCTAAATTGGTAGTCCTGTTCTCTCTTTTTTATACAGGGTTGGATTATGGAATAGCATGCATGGGATATAATTCATTACCAATCTGTACCATGCACAAATTAGCTACTCGGAACAGCATTCAATACAATGGGTGTAGACTTATTTGGATCAACATCTGGGAATATGGTACATTTAGAAGCATTAATATAATTATTTCTATAGTTTATTTGTGTCTTTGTGCATGCAGGCATAGAAGAGACAGACATGTTTGGATATATAAAACTAAGAGTCGCGATGACATAATTCTTCTTTTAAGAAAATTAAAAGCATAACCTACTTTAACTAATCAAAGCTCAAGCTCTAAAATTTGAGGCAATCATGCAGTCATGAAAAAACCACAAAAAAAGTATATGAAGAAAAGGCTAAATATTAGCTCTAAATGAATCAAAATTGCATTTTGAACCAGTAGTCATTATCTGCTCTTATTGCCTAATAGTTAGTTTTGACATCTCAGTTCGAGAATACATCATAAGCGCACGCACGAACTAGATTATACTTTTCGTGGGGCGATTTTGGTAACATGGATCAATAAACAAAACAAAACAAAACAACATTTCATTTACTTTGATAAGCAAACAGTAATATCACTTTTCTATTATGTTTCAAACAATATAAATCAAATCAAAAGGCCCCAAACGTGATCGGGGTGTTCAGAACCACACATGAGACAGTTATAATCTTCAAACCTGTATAGTTCAGAATGCCCTGCTCGCATACAACAGGTGCCTGATATGATTTGTGTTTTACTTACTTTGCTTGACCTCTTTGTAAACAGGGAAAAGACAGGCCTAGCATGAGAAACAAGAGCCACTTAACAAAGCCAGGATGCTTGCCTACTTATCCACTTTGAGATTTTGTGTTTATCTCGAACTACCAAAATTTCTCAAGAGTACATAGGCAAGTCATCCTTGGCTTAGCAAAGATAGGCTCTTATCATCATGTAAGGCCTCTTTTCCATCTCATTCTTCTTCTTCTTCGAGGGAGTTTTGAATCTTGTGATGATAGTACTTATCTCACTTGGTCTTTATATATCAAGTGGATTAGCGATACACTTGTCTCAACTTGCCATGTAACTTGACATTTTTATGAGGAATATGTTCTAATAATCTTATTGGGGACCGAAGATATTCGTTATGTTTGCAATTGGATAAGATCGGAGGAAAAGGTTACCGTTGACTCCTACGTGACTCATCTCTCATTCTCATGCTTGATGCTCAGTTAAGTCAAAACTTTATGAAGTGATTATCCCATATTTGGCATCATTGAGACTTTACAATTATCGTCGAAATGTAGTCGATGAACTTTGTGGTAATTTTGGGTGACATTTGTTCAAGAATATATATACAGTGTGATTTTCTGTTTTAAGAAAGGAGGGAGATAGCAAATTCTACCAGAGCTCTTTGCTCCAGTAGTGCATTGGTGTGCCAGCTTACAGAGGATATATTAGGGAGTGTAAATACTCAAAACACATCTATAGAGGTGTCTGGCTCTTTGTACTTTGAAAGGAGAATTGTTGCATCCTTACAGATAGTTTTTGTACGTCTTTATTAGTGACCCAGTTGATAAAATGCAAATAGATGCACAATTCTATTGTTCTTAGGATGTCAGAGAGAGATTTATATTTTCTCATCCTTGGATATCTATTCTAATTAGATGTAATAATATTTGTTTACTGAAGATACATTCTCTGTTCCACATTGTATAATCTCAGTGTAAATTATTATTGAGAAGTTTGGGCCATCATAAATTTACAGATATTTTTCTCTTCAGAAAACTATCTTGATTTTTCAAAAAAACTAACATGAACTTAGTACTTAAGTGAGCAAAAAAAATTCGTGGCAGTTTTTGAAAACAGTCCTAAGTTCATGGTAGAGTTTTTCAGGTTTAGCCTTATTTGTTAATGCAAGTAATGAAGTTGGTTTCCGTAGGAGTACATGTATAATAAAGAATTCATCTATTGTGTTGCATGCGTTACTCGTACAGCTCATTTAGTCTCAACAGGACATTGGAAATCTTCTAAATGTATAGATTTTGCTGGCACATATCTCGCTCCAAACTTAACATTTACATCTGATCCAAGCCTCAGTAAATAAATTTCCTTGGACATGGATGTAAACTAACCCGAACAAAACTTGGTAATTGAATATCAAACTATGATCAAATTTAAAGATGAATAGTTACGAACATCAGGGATCGAACATTGGTCTTCTGACATTACAATGACTGTCAGCGCTTTGAGTAGCAAAAATCTCTCTTTCTGCTGCTGCACAGTCATACTATTGTATAATTTGCACATTAATTCCTCAATTACCTGGTTCTTCCCTCTTCTCTCAGAAGTTCAGAATAGCCCAAGATTCACGCATTCGATTGGTCAGGGACCAGTTGACTTAGGGCGCAGAATCAATTTTCATTGAGCTAAAACCTTATCTAAAACAATATTCGCCATCAACAAACCGGTGCAATTGACTGACATAAACTTTTATTATCTATGCTTGATCTCAAAGTTCTTTTCTTAGATGTTCAATGGAGTATGTTCTTTTATCCATCTGGACCTGAAACCTTATTATCATTGATTTTGAGAAAAAAACATAGAAGTGCCGACTGACAAGTCTCTCTAAGAAATATTATATGAGGTGGAATAAAAAATGCCTTCTGATAAAGAGAAGGAAGAGAAGGAATAAGAACCACTTAGAAAACCAAGAAATGCCTTCTGATATTGATCCATTGAGAGATTTTGACTAAATCAAGCTCGAAAAAAACCAAAGATCTACATGGCGATCAGTCGGTCACTCTTGCCTTATCAAAGATAGGCTCTTATTTTCATGTAAGACCTTTCTTCCATTTTTCGCTTCTTGTGCATATTGTGATCATAATTCTTGTTTCAAGTTGTGATTATATGCCAAGTTGAGCATCAGCAAGATAGTGTTCTCAACTTGCTATTTTCAAAAGGAATATGTTCTTAATCTTGTTAGGGACTTTACCCAAAGGAATACCTTGTCTTCTGATATTTCTGCAGATACTGGATAAGGCGCACAGAGGAAATGAACCACGGTTGACTAAGATATGGAATGTCTTCTATGTGAAGTTTTTGAAGTTTTGAGTCTTGGGAGGCTTCTTCTAAGTTGTACAAAGATGCTCAATAAGCTAGAATCTTGTCAAGTCAAATTTTATGTATTTTTTCCCAAAAAAATTTATGAATTTATCCATTTTCTTGCTGTACAAATTTTCTAACCAAATCCACCATCTTTCGCAACTTATTACTGTCATCAAATATTGTCAACTCAACAAAGGATCAGACTGAAAGTAGACCCAAGTTCTTGATTATTCCTGTTATTGACTTGCTTGTTCTATTATCTGTTAAATTAAAAGTTCATGGTAGAATCGCGTAGAGCTTAGCCTTATTTGTTAATGCAAGTAATTATTTGTCGATAGATATGTGAGTAGACCAGAGAAGGCCATTCTGATGACACCAACTTCAGAAGTGTTCAGGAGTGTATGCATAATCAAGAAAAGAGTTCATTTAACCGCGACAGGAAATTGGAAATTTGTCTAAATGCATAGATTTGCCTTCTGCATATAACATTCCAAACTGAATGTTCCACATCCAAGTATCAGTAAACAAATTTCCTTAAACATGGATGTGAATTAAAACAAAACTTGATGTATCAAACCATGATCAAACATAAAGATGAGTAGTTACCTATATCAGGGGTTGAACATTGGTCTTCTGACATGGCGAAGATATCGGCACTTGAGTAGCAAAGATCTCTGTCTTTCTGCTGCTGAAGTCATACTACTGTGTTATTTACACATTAATTCCTCAATTTTCAGTACTCCCTAAATCCTGATTGTTTTAATTAGATGTAGCGAACGTTCTGATACTCTGGGTTTCATCCATTTGAAACATTTTTAGAACCCAACCCGCCCCCACCCCCCTCCTCTTGTTCTTCTTCTTGACATCAAGTGTTTACTAAATCCAACAGTTGACTATTGCATTCCAGTACACCTACTCTTATGCCTAAAATGCATGCTTGTTACATGCTTTCTGATTAACAAAGAATAGTGTTAGTTTTCTACCTCTTCCAAATTCTTATCCATAATGAGAAAGGAAGAGAGATAGGTCTAGCATGAGGAATAAGAGCCACTTAGGAAACCAAGAAATGACTACCGATATTGATCCATTGAGAGATTTCGACTAAATCAAGCTTGAAATAACCCAAAGATCTTCATGAGGACCAGTCGGCAAGTCATTCTTGGCTTATCAAAGATAGGCTCTTATTTTCATGTAAGACCTCTCTTCCATTTTCTGCTTCTTGTTTTGTGATCATAGTTCTTGTTTCAGATTGTGATTATATACCAAGTCGAGCATCGGCAAGATAGTGATCTCAACTTGCTATTTTCAAAAGGAATATGTTCTTATAACCTTGTTAGGGACTGTTATCCAAAGGAATAAATTGTCTTCTGATATTTCTGATACTGGATAAAGCACAAAGAGGAAATGAACCATGCATGGTTGACTAATATATGGAATGTCTTCTATGTGAAGTTTTTGAGGTTTGAGAGGTTTCTTCTAAGTAGTAGAAAGATGCTCAATAAGTCGGAATCTTGGCAAGTCAAATTTTATGTATTTTTTCTTAAGAGAAGTATTTATCTATTTTCTCTCTCTAAAAAGTTTCTAATCAAATCCACCATCTTTCGCAACTGTCATCAAAATATTGTCAACTCAACAAGGGATAAGACTGAAAGTAGACCCGAGTTCTTGATTATTCCCATTATTCCACTTGCTTGTTCTATTATCTGTTAAATTCGAAGCACAGTTGACTTTGTAATATACTTGTTTCTTGAACTTTTATAAATATTCTTTGAACTTGAATTTAATTCTGATGGATATATATATCTTACTTCATAAGCTCAAGGGGATGCATAAATCAGTTTGTCGCTTTTTAATGTTTGTTTCGCGGACCATCAATAATTCTAATGGGTTAAAGGATCAGCATGGGGGGAAACCTGCACAATTGACAACAAAAGAAGTGCTATTTCAATGGAAATATTAGGTATCATTAAAGCATGTCATATTGATACGATAATTTTCCATTCATAAATTTTTCTTAGGTATTGAATCAACAGAAATCATCTCCAAATATGCTTTGGTATGTTTTCCTGATTAAGCTGTTTATCTCATGATAACAGTCGGCACTAATCATGCCGTGAAGTTTGTCGTGTATAATAAATGAAATATATCTTAGCCTGCAGAAACAAAAAAATGCAAGTACATGAAGCTTCATAAGTAGCTTTATCTGCTGAAAAATAATTTGCAGAAATTTCTAATTGTGGCAACCAATTTAACTGTCACGACGGCGACAGTGCTTTGCAACGAAACAAACTCCTGCAACAGAGTAAAACGGACTCAGTTGCATCCAACAATAGTCACAACCTGTCCAATTGCAGGCTACCAAATGGCTCCTAAGAGAAAAACCAATACGTATAGGCTAGAAACAACTCGTTCAGATAAATAGAATGCAAAGTTTTTATTGAATAGATGAATGAGTAGCTTGTTCACAGTTTTCAGCCAAAACAACACACACAAGATTACAATACCATCACAAACAACGTTTTCCAAACATACAGACACCAATATAATCATTAGAAAAGCCCTGACCCACCTCGGAAAAGAATCACAAAAAATCTCCTGTATATTGTGCATCTCGTTCCAGCAGCAAGCCACGCCTATCTCCTTAATAATATGAACAACTCAATGGGATGCATGCACACTGTGACATGTTAATCTCCCATTTTCATCCAAACATTAAAACTTGCTTACCTTCCACGAACCACAGAACTCATGTTTCCAACATCCGATGGATCCCAATCCAATGTAGAATTATATATCGCCGACAAGGACGTCACCACTTCAGCCATCGCTGGCCTCGATCCAGGCTCAACCACCACACATCTCAGCGCCACTTCAGCCATCGCGAAAGCCAAATCAAAAGGGTACTCGTTTCCCAAACAAGGATCGATGAAATCTCTAACCTGACTCCTGACATTTTCGCCTTTCATCACTTCCCTTATCGACGCCCATAACAGCACTTCTCCCTTATTGTCCCCATCCTTTGCGAATATAGCTTCTTTCCCCGATAAGAGCTCCAGTATGATAACACCAAAAGCAAACACATCTAGCTTGGGAGTTATGAGCCCATGCTCAAGATACTCGGGTGCCATATATCCTTGGGTACCCACAACATGTCGAGTTAGTTGTAGGCCCTTTTCCTCCTCTTCTACGGCGCGAGCGAGTCCAAAATTACCCAATTTCGCTCTGAACTCGCTATCGAGCAAAATGTTACTGCTCTTCAGATTCTTGTGTATATAAGGAGGATCAGTGTAGTTATGAAGGTAATTGAGTCCATCTGCAACATCATAAGCCACTCTAACTCTGTGCTTCCAACTGAGCACGCGATCAACGGAGCCCTTCCCATGGTGAAGCCAATCAGATAGAGCTCCATTCTCTGCAAACTCATAGACGAGGTAGGTGTTGCCCTCATGAACGCAGAAACCCGAAAGCCTGACGACATTCGAATGGTTGATCCTCTTCAAGATCCTGATCTCGCTCGACACATCCCCATTGATCCTCTTGACCGCAGCATCGTCCCCATTGATCACCGCTCGATAGCCTCTGATCCTGTGATCCTCCGCGAAGAACCCGGTCGCCTTCTCCAAATCCGAGAACCTGTACACCACCAGAGCCTCGACAAACCCGCGGATCTCGCTCGACATAAACGTGCCCGTCGAAGCCTTGCCCGATAAGGCTCCGTACTCGCTGGACGTGGAGACGCCCGCCTTCTTCGCTTGCTGAACGGGCATATCACCGAGCAGCTGGCGGCCGCGAAGCCTGAAACAGCAGAAATAGTACCAGCCCAAAAGCCCGCACAGCACCACAAAACCAGCGCCGATCCCAACCCCGACAAACACCCACTTCTTAGCCAAGAACGCGCCTCTGACCCCGTCGCCCCTCTTCACCGAGGCGCGGCGCTTCTCGGTGCCGCCGAGGCGGCGGCGGCGGCCGGGTGCCTGAACCGACTGCTCGTTCGCGTGCGCGAGCGGGATCAGGAGGGTGGGAAAGGTAAGATGACGTCGCCATAGGCCAGCGAGTTGCCGTCGAGGAAGGACGGCGCCGATTGCTCGATCCGCCGAACCTCTGGGAGATGGTGGGCAGTCGTCCGTCCCGCGCCAGGTGACCAGGTAGGTGAGCAGATACTTGGCCCCGGCCCTCCTCTGCTCGGGGTCGGCAGCGGCAGCGATGGGCACGTGAGCTCGTCCCAGCGGCCAGCCTCCTGGGGTCGTAGAGAGGGGTTCTGGTCGTATCATGGCCTTGGCAAGTGGAGAGGCCCATGGTAGGTGTCGTTGGCGATGGCGAAGTAGTCTCGCCCGTGGCTTGATCCTGTAGTCGCGTTGTGGCTGGTAGTAGGGCTCCCGAGCAGGAGGCAGGTGACGCGGGAGGGTGACGAGGCCGTTGGCGGGAGGCGGGTCGGAGGAGGAGGGGTGAGGTTGGAGGACGAGGAGGGAGTTGAGGAGGGAGGGGGACTGGAGGTGGGGCGCCTGAGGGCGGAAGGAGAATGAAGGAGGGCAGGAGGGAGGGAGTTGCAGGGCGTAGCCGAGGACGTGGTGAGTTGGAGGAGGCGCGCAGTTGAGCTGGGGGTTGTTCACGCTCGTAGCCCTGCTGGATTTCGCAGAGGGTAGGACGAGGACGAGGACGAGGAGGAGGAGGAGGAGGAAGGAGGAGGAGATGCGGGCGGGTTTCATGGTGGGCGGCGATGGAGGAGGCCTGGGGGCGGCTACAGTACCGTCGAACGGATGGCGGAGGTTCTTGGTGCTGGCGTTCTATTGGCCGAGCGATTGCATTTTCAGGAATTTGGCTCCCCCTCCGCTGTGGAAAATTCAATCCCTAAAATGAGGGAGAACATACTTTCATTCCTTTTTTTTTTTTCTTCTAGGAAACAAGTTCTTTTGTTCGTTTCCGCGTGGAAGCGCTGAGGGAGGAAAATAGTTTCCGTTCGTTAACCCTTTTATCGGTGGTTTTAAAAGTCAGAAAATAAGAAGACATTTGAATCGAAATTTTTTTTGCATCGTCACTCGGCTTAGCTATTATATTTTAACTGGCTTTCGTACCATCTAAGTATTTCAGTGTTAGAATCCATCTTTCCAAGCTTTTCCACGCCGTTTCCTCACTTAGACTATCTCCAGCAGGTGGTTTTTTGTAGGGTGGTGGAGGGGGGAGGGGGGGGTTGCTCCAGCAGGTGGTTTTTTGAGTGGTGAAATGGAAAATCGGAGTCAAAGGGGTAAATATTTCACCATTAGTTTTTCTGACCGTGTGGGTCCCGCGAAAAAAGCATGCAGCTGTATTTTAAAAAAAAATTAAAGGCGCCTACCAATCAGCACGCGACATGTGGCGAAGTTGCAGGAGCTGTTGGGCCAAACTTGCACACGCGCGTGTGTTCAATGTGATCAGCACATGCATCAAGCCATGTGTCAAGGCTTGATTGGTTGGCGTTTTTTGTTTTACTCCTAATTTTTAAATGATATTTTGGGAGATAAATACTAGAAATTAATTTATAATTTTTATAGCAATAATTTTTATTTTTTGACCTCTATAAATAGAGATTAGTCTTGTGTAATTTGGACACCAAAAATTATAATTATAAATAAATGAGTTATATTAGTAATAATAATAGTAGTAGTAGTAATATATATGAAATAAGACAAAGAAATGAATAAATAAGGTGGGGTATATATGTTGGAGTGATGGGGTTATAGTGGGTCCCAAATAAAGTAAAAATCTTTTGAAAAAACTCCTGCTGTAGAAATGATAGAAAATGAAGATTGTTGAATTATGTGGAGGGGGAATAAAGTGATGTGGCAGGAGAGAGAATGTTAAAATTTCGACTCCTGCTGGAGATAGTCTTAGGGCATGTTTGGTGGTTGTTTGTAATTTGTGTATTTATGACACAAATTAAGAAGTTGTTGTCCAACCCATCATTTTTATTTTTATTTTTTACTTTGTTTGGTTTGGATTCGATTGGAATCATGAAATGAAAATAAAGTTGTTGTCTGGTGTGCGCGTAATGAAACTATGGAAAGTTATAGTTATGTAGACCCCACTCAAATAGGTCATACTAGCACAGGTAAGATTACCTCTATAAATGGATCATGTAGTTGTTAAAAATTTTAATTTACATGTTAAAATAGTTTTAATTCTAAGGAAACAATGTAGAAAATAACTTCTTTCTTATTTATATTTTATTTAATTTACACATTTGACATAATTAGGATAAATTTCAATAAAGCGAGCCCAAACCTTCGGGCGAGTTCCCAAAAGTTACAATAAGTTAATACATAACGTGAGATCAATGTAGAGGATAAAAATTCAACTCTACCAAGCTAAAATTTACATATTTATCTGAAATTGAGCGAAGCTTGATCAGTTAGACTCTACATCCATCTTCTTTATCATCACCACCACCACAACCATCATCATCTCTTCCAATTCTCAACTTAGACAAGGTAAAAACCCTATTGCACCAAGTGATTTCAACTCAGGATTTGTTATCAAGGATCTGACCATCCAATTCCCAACTAAAAATATCAGTGAAGGAAACAAGATAAAATACAAAAAGAAGCAAGTGAGAGAGATTTGATTCATGATGCTTACGAGCATTGACAATAATCCTTCAAAATCCCATTTTTTTGTTTCTCATTTCTGCCGAGTGTCGAGATGGAGTGAGAGAGGAAGAAGAGATTCGGGTTTGAGTTTCCCTTTCACTGCCCTAACTCCATTGGAGGTTTCAATTAGTGGTCTACAGGCTTAAAGAAAAAGCATCTGCATGGTGGGATGAAGTACTGATAAAATGATACCATCAAGGAAATGATCCGGTTTGAACGTGGGCAAAGATGAAGAAATTATTGAGAGATCGTTTCTTACTTTCTAACTATAAGCAATGACAAATGTCTCTAGTGGCAAACAACAAGACGCTCACCCCCGGAAAGAAAGATTTTGCCACCATCAAGATTCATCCTGAGGTTCCTGATGTTGATGATGATATGTTAATGAAGATGAATATTCTACATGATATTATGAGTGATGTTACACATATTGATATTGTCCTGATGGAGGAGAAAGATCAAATAGAGAGTGAGACAATTGATGGTATATGTGCATTGCTTGGTGGAGAGCTTGAGATAAAGGAAATGAAAGAATTGTGTATGGAGTATGAGGAAGAAATAATTTTTTTTGAAGCAATAATCATCAATAATTTTAACAATGGTGAGATAATACCATCGACACTAGAGTATGGGAAGCAACAAGGAAAAAATTTGGAGGAGTTTTTCATGTTAACTACAGAGCCACACGATGTCAGTTACATACACTTGTCATGGAAAAGATTCATACACAAGTTTGATACAAAAGAAGTCCTAGCAAAGGGTCAGTTACATACACTTGTCATGGAAAAGATTCATACACAAGTTTGATACAAAAGAAGTCCTAGCAAAGGAGGTAAAAGAACAAATGGAGAAAATCAATACTAAATACAAGGACGATGTCAGTTACATTCTTTTTTTTTTTTTGTAATTCTAGTCTTATTTGATACTTTCTATTTTTGTAATTCTAATCTTACTAGGAGTCTTATTTGTTTTTCTATTTAAGAAGAGTCATGTAACCCCAAAGAAGAATAACTTTTCATCAATAAAATTTCTCTTTTTCAATATTTTCTTCGTGGATTCGAAGATCGTTCTTTGTGGATTTAGAGAACACCCTTGATGGATTCCGATGTTATCACTTCTGCGCTACGTCAACTTCTTAACACCAGTTTTAATCCAAATCAGTTTAGTTTTGGACCGTATGTAACAAATGCCGCCTTTTAAGTTCAAGTCCTGCTTTTTGCGAGACTAGATTCTAATGTTGGGGCAATATTTTACATGACTTAGGCACTTGCCATGCAGGCCCTTATATTACTTTTGTACTTTGACGCAAAACGATGAAATCTCATTTTGTGAAGTACAAGTAAGTAATCATGAGTTTGTACATACTATATATGTTTGCGGTCTAGCTAGCATTTTTCTATTCATGTTAAGTCGCTATATTTTGGAAAAATTATTTGTGTTCTTATTCATAGTTCGTAAGGTGTTATCAAAGAGTATCAAAATTCGGATCCAAGATTTTAGATTTACGCACGGGTCTCGAATACATAGATGCTATGAACGAGAAGTACTAAATGATATTTAATTACACAAAAGTGAATGAAAAAATCGCCAAATTTAAGAAAATCTAATTTATCATATGCTAGTCCACAGCAGAAAGAAAAATGATACAGGCACACCCTCTGTTTTCTTTAATGTTTTCAATAATTTGTGTGTGTTTGACTTTTCCGTATGCTTAATAAAATCGTGTGTTTTTTTGTTAATATAAAAATATTATCAAAAATTAAATTAATAATATATATTATTTATGTAAATATTAAAAATTTATAATTATAAATAAATGAGTTATATTAGTAATAATAATAGTAGTAGTAGTAATATATATGAAATAAGAAAAAGAAATGAATAAATAAGGTGGGGTATATATGTTGGAGTGATGGGGTTATAGTGGGTCCCAAATAAAGTAAAAATCTTTTGAAAAAACTCCTGCTGTAGAGATGATAGAAAATGAAGATTGTTGAATTATGTGGAGGGGGAATAAAGTGATGTGGCAGGAGAGAGAATGTTAAAATTTCGACTCCTGCTGGAGATAGTCTTAGGGCATGTTTGGTGGTTGTTTGTAATTTGTGTATTTATGACACAAATTAAGAAGTTGTTGTCCAACCCATCATTTTTATTTTTATTTTTTACTTTGTTTGGTTTGGATTCGATTGGAATCATGAAATGAAAATAAAGTTGTTGTCTGGTGTGCGCGTAATGAAACTATGGAAAGTTATAGTTATGTAGACCCCACTCAAATAGGTCATACTAGCACAGGTAAGATTACCTCTATAAATGGATCATGTAGTTGTTAAAAATTTTAATTTACATGTTAAAATAGTTTTAATTCTAAGGAAACAATGTAGAAAATAACTTCTTTCTTATTTATATTTTATTTAATTTACACATTTGACATAATTAGGATAAATTTCAATAAAGCGAGCCCAAACCTTCGGGCGAGTTCCCAAAAGTTACAATAAGTTAATACATAACGTGAGATCAATGTAGAGGATAAAAATTCAACTCTACCAAGCTAAAATTTACATATTTATCTGAAATTGAGCGAAGCTTGATCAGTTAGACTCTACATCCATCTTCTTTATCATCACCACCACCACAACCATCATCATCTCTTCCAATTCTCAACTTAGACAAGGTAAAAACCCTATTGCACCAAGTGATTTCAACTCAGGATTTGTTATCAAGGATCTGACCATCCAATTCCCAACTAAAAATATCAGTGAAGGAAACAAGATAAAATACAAAAAGAAGCAAGTGAGAGAGATTTGATTCATGATGCTTACGAGCATTGACAATAATCCTTCAAAATCCCATTTTTTTGTTTCTCATTTCTGCCGAGTGTCGAGATGGAGTGAGAGAGGAAGAAGAGATTCGGGTTTGAGTTTCCCTTTCACTGCCCTAACTCCATTGGAGGTTTCAATTAGTGGTCTACAGGCTTAAAGAAAAAGCATCTGCATGGTGGGATGAAGTACTGATAAAATGATACCATCAAGGAAATGATCCGGTTTGAACGTGGGCAAAGATGAAGAAATTATTGAGAGATCGTTTCTTACTTTCTAACTATAAGCAATGACAAATGTCTCTAGTGGCAAACAACAAGACGCTCACCCCCGGAAAGAAAGATTTTGCCACCATCAAGATTCATCCTGAGGTTCCTGATGTTGATGATGATATGTTAATGAAGATGAATATTCTACATGATATTATGAGTGATGTTACACATATTGATATTGTCCTGATGGAGGAGAAAGATCAAATAGAGAGTGAGACAATTGATGGTATATGTGCATTGCTTGGTGGAGAGCTTGAGATAAAGGAAATGAAAGAATTGTGTATGGAGTATGAGGAAGAAATAATTTTTTTTGAAGCAATAATCATCAATAATTTTAACAATGGTGAGATAATACCATCGACACTAGAGTATGGGAAGCAACAAGGAAAAAATTTGGAGGAGTTTTTCATGTTAACTACAGAGCCACACGATGTCAGTTACATACACTTGTCATGGAAAAGATTCATACACAAGTTTGATACAAAAGAAGTCCTAGCAAAGGAGGTAAAAGAACAAATGGAGAAAATCAATACTAAATACAAGGACGATGTCAGTTACATTCTTTTTTTTTTTTTGTAATTCTAGTCTTATTTGATACTTTCTATTTTTGTAATTCTAATCTTACTAGGAGTCTTATTTGTTTTTCTATTTAAGAAGAGTCATGTAACCCCAAAGAAGAATAACTTTTCATCAATAAAATTTCTCTTTTTCAATATTTTCTTCGTGGATTCGAAGATCGTTCTTTGTGGATTTAGAGAACACCCTTGATGGATTCCGATGTTATCACTTCTGCGCTACGTCAACTTCTTAACACCAGTTTTAATCCAAATCAGTTTAGTTTTGGACCGTATGTAACAAATGCCGCCTTTTAAGTTCAAGTCCTGCTTTTTGCGAGACTAGATTCTAATGTTGGGGCAATATTTTACATGACTTAGGCACTTGCCATGCAGGCCCTTATATTACTTTTGTACTTTGACGCAAAACGATGAAATCTCATTTTGTGAAGTACAAGTAAGTAATCATGAGTTTGTACATACTATATATGTTTGCGGTCTAGCTAGCATTTTTCTATTCATGTTAAGTCGCTATATTTTGGAAAAATTATTTGTGTTCTTATTCATAGTTCGTAAGGTGTTATCAAAGAGTATCAAAATTCGGATCCAAGATTTTAGATTTACGCACGGGTCTCGAATACATAGATGCTATGAACGAGAAGTACTAAATGATATTTAATTACACAAAAGTGAATGAAAAAATCGCCAAATTTAAGAAAATCTAATTTATCATATGCTAGTCCACAGCAGAAAGAAAAATGATACAGGCACACCCTCAGATACACCACCAACCACACATCCTCTCTATCTACAGTGCAGGGGGCCTCACATCAGATTTTTTAAAAAAATCTGATGTGAGGCTCCCTGCACTGTAGATAGAGAAGGGGTGTGGTTGACAGTGTGCCTGAGGGTGTGCCTGTAGCGCCTCCCCAACAGAAAAGCCCCAGCTTGATTTTTCTATGTAGTATCAAAGTTCGTTTTTTTTTTCTCTCCCCAAAATAATGCAGTTCTTCAATCGCGTGAGTATTGATAATTATTTTTAGGATATTGGGATCGGGGTTAAGGCCTGAGTGCTGACTTATTCAGCAATCGTATTCCAGAGGGAAACCTCTGTTATTGGTCGGTCCAAATTATGTTGATGTTGATTGGAGTATCGACGTCAAAGTCAACAATGGACAAACCGTGACTCGTTTTCTCTGCCAATGTAGGCACGAAGCTTCCTTTCTAAAGAGCACAAATTCTTTGAAAAAAGGTCCACATGCTTATTAATTTCTCACTACTTTATTTCCTATTTATCTTGCTTGTTATTGGATTTTAGCAGAAAAGATGAAAGAAGGACAACATGTATTTTTACCTTGAGTGTATGTACATATAAGGGCCTGTTTGATTCATCTCTGTAAATAATATGAAACCCCATTTTCTTGTGGAAATACCATTTCCAGGGTTTTCTGTACGATTCCTAAAACTGTTGGGTTTTTTTTTTTCTTTGTTCACCGAAAATTAGCTAAAACTAAGCATGAAAAATAAGTGTTTATTGGTCTTCAGTTTGGAGGGGGACCAAGGAATATAAAATCCAAATTTGCAGTTTGGGCATGAGAAGTGAAAAAGAAGAGCACATCAAAAGATATGCAATGTAAATACAAGCCAATTTCAGAACTCAACATAAGATCAAAAGTACTACCTTGCTAAATCAATAGTCACAGACAAATTTGCAGGCAAACTAACTTGGCCATCCAACAAACCCAAGCCCCTGTACTCTTCTTCTTCGTCCTCAACTTCTTTCTCCTCACTTCTCCCAATCCCTGCGGTAATTGCAAGCTCTCGAGCCACCTCTTTCATCGTCGGCCTCTTCTCCCCTCTCAGAAGCAAACACTTTCGAGCCAACTCTGCGACACATTCAAACTCCTCGGCCCTCCCTTCTCTCACCACATAATCATCAAGAAACTCCTCAAATCTTTTACATTTCAATGACGACAGAAAGTACATTGCTAAGTTACTATCCTCTTTCGCCCTTTCAAATGATACAGGCTTCTGCCCTGTCAATAGCTCTACAAGCACAACCCCGAAACTGTAGACATCGCTCTTTGCTGTCAATTGGCTCGTCTGTAAATACTCGGGATCAAGATATCCGAACGTCCCCTGAACTAATGTAGGTATCTCAGTCTGATCCAGTGGTACTAATCGAGATATACCAAAGTCCGATACCTTCGCAGTGTAGTGTTCATCAAGGAGTACGTTTGAAGATTTTACATCTCGATGAAACACAGGCATAGATGCTGCAGAGTGAAGGTATGCTAGAGCCTCAGCTATCTCGATTGCAATCCTGAGACGATCTTTCCATGAGATTCGATCAAATGTGCCATGAATATGCTCGTATAATGTACCATTGGATATGAATTCATATACCAACATGGGTACTTCTGTCTCCAAGCAACATCCAAGTAGTTTTACAACATTTCGATGGTTGATTTTGCTGAGGATTATAAGCTCGTTGATGAAAAGATCGATTTGGGTCTGATCGATTACTTTGGATTTCTTGATTGCGACAGTGGAGCCGTCATCTAGAACTCCTTTGTAGACTGTGCCATAACCTCCAGTGCCAATAATCATGTCCGTGTTATAGCTATTTGTCGCATGCTCAAGCTCTTCTGATGAGAAAATTCTCGTAAAATTCGAACAGTTTTCATGTGTAGAGACTTGTTGTTTAAGAAGAAGGCCGCCATTTTTTTCAAAGTACTGTTCTCTGAGCTTGATCATTGTGCGATGCTTCATTGCAAAGCAGAACCAGAGCGAACACGCTAGCATCAAAAAAATAGAGAAAATTGCGCCTGAAATCGAGGATGACTGCTGTCAAATTTGAGCATTGAGGAGATTAGAGAAAGGTTTTTTCGTGATGAGTTTGTACCAAGAATCGATTCGACGATTTTGAAGATTTTTCTGCAGCCTGATCCGTGTTTGGTGCCATCTCCAGTGCTACCAAAAGGGCACTTGCAGTCATAGCCTGGGATTTTGTTATGGCAGTGGGCTTCTCGTACACAAGGGCTGGTCTTGGGGTTATGGCACTCATTAATATCTGTAATATCGCAGGAGAAATAAGAAATTAAATGAACTATATGTTTCTAAAAATAGGAGTGTCATTGTTTAAAATATGTATTCAATGAGATTGGTATCATGTTATGTGTATTATATGAAAATCCACTTACGTGTTGGTTATAGCATTTACCTTGACAACCATCAGAGCCATTGAGGTAAGGATTCCCCTCAAACCCCTCCAAACAAAAGCAAAGATACCCCTTCCTCCTCTCCAAACAATACCCATTCTCTCCACACCTCAAACACTTACCACCACCGTCATCTTCAACCTCCCAATCCAACCTCATTGCGATCCTCATCCCCTCTCTGAACTCTCCCCATTTCCTAACTAACCCAATCTCTCCCTTCTCCATCAAAAACCCGTAGCTACACCTCCCACCCCCACTCACATTCTCATACCCGAACATATTCCCCACCCCAACAACCAACTCCCTCCTACCAACTCCGCGCAACCGCCGCCTCGCAGAACCCGGCTCCGCCGGAACACACCGAGACGCACCCGCTCGTCGCAGCGGGCCCCGATCCTGGCAGAGACGATGGCGACGGTGTCGCAACGACGCGCGAAGAGGCGGTTGGCATCGGAGGAGATGACGAAGGAGCGGCGGTCGCGAGGGGATGGAGATGGTGGAGAGGTTGGCGGCGGCCGGAGGCACAGTCGGAGGCGACGAAGGGGGCGGAGCTTACGCAGAGGTGGCCAATTGGCGATGGGAGGATCTGGAGGTGAGAGAGGAGGAGGGTTTGGTTGTGGATGCAAGAGAGTGTGGAAGTTAGGGAGGGAGCAGTTGGGGCCGAGGCCGAAGGGGAAGGGGATGTCGATGGCGCCGCAATGAGAGGGGCAATGTGGGTTGTCAGGGCTTGAAGAGATTGGATGGAAGAAGAAGATGATGATGAAGGAGAGGGTGTGTGAGAGACGGAGAGGAGAGGAGAGTTTCATGGTTTGGACAGTTACGAAGAAAAAGGATGGGGGGATGTTTTTCTTATTTTGAAAGAGGGATTTCCCTCGCTCACTCTAACCGTCGGGGAAGTAGAAATTTACAAATGTGGGTGCTTATGGGCTAATAATTGGCTATTCGGCCCAATTTGCCCTTGATTGGAGTTAATCAAGCGAACAATTTAAGAATAGCCAAAAATGCAAAACAAGAATATAAGTTTTCAGATGTAAATCATGAAAGGAAAAAAAAGACATTAATTTTGGCAATTCGTTTTGCTAAATGAACTACCAAAAAAACGAGAGAAAAGATGGTGAGAGGATCTAGCAATTATTCTAAAATTTCTCACTTCAAAGGATCCAGCGACATTAATTATCGTTCGTTTTTATTTTTCAGCACAATCGTCGGTCCAGAATTTTTTTTGGGAAGATTGCAACTTTTCCCCGTGTGGATCAGACCCAAAAAAGTTTTAATTAATGTGTTCAGGCCCCTCCACGTCAGCTATATTAAAAAAGAGACTGCCTTTTAGAAAAAAAAAACCCTAAAATACACTTCATTCTTCCCCAGACGCAGTCCCCCCATCAAGATAAATGCATGGGCGAAAGTCAATCACATTAATAAGACTAAAAGCAGAAGGTTAAGTTCAAGGTGTTGTGTTGTATGTTAAGTCTAAATTCCATTATGTTAACTACAAGTGAGAACATGAAATAACTTACACATAACATTAAGTGATTTAGGATTAACATGAACTAAATTAGACATAACTTGAATCAAAATAGACTTAACATGAAACTTACGGGTATTAGTGGCATGCATCCAGAGATATATGTAACCCGTGGCTTCTTCAAGCCCTCCAAAGCAACTTTAATGCCTCTAATTATTTCTGTATAAATGAATTGATCCCATGCAACTCTTTTCACCCTCTCAATGTTATCCATGTACTTGAGTAATAGCCTAGGGATACCTTCCCCACTTTTGGGGCACCATATCATTGAGCACTGATAAAGAATTTGTAGCAGAGCAAAGTCTTGGATATCCTTCTTTTCTTTTGATTCCACAAGAATTTCTAGTAGACCTTCAATATATCTTCGAAGGCTAATTGGTGCTTTTCCTTTTTTTTCCTTTCCCCCTCTTCAAGTTTGAAAAGTTTAGCAAAATGTTCTACCCATATTCTGCATTTAGAGTCCCGATTGGTACAAATGATTTCCCCGTCAATTGGAGAAAAAAATATGATTATGGACCCAATCTAAGTCAAAGTTAACAATTTTTATTTCCCCTGTTTTTGCATTAGGGGTAGAAAATGTTTTATTATTAACATTATAATAGCTCAGCACCAGCTCAAGTGTTGGACGATCAAGTGCAGGAGCGCCAAATAGAATATAGTGCTCAAATATGGATCCACAATATGCATCCCTATGTCATTAACATATCTTTAGGGCAAGACGCTTTATAAATTCATAATAAGCCCCAGTAATGACAGTTGGCCTAATTTCTGTAGTATCACTAATTTTTTTCCTGAAAATAAATTCAAATGTACAAGTTCAATTAGACTTAGCATGAACTGATATTAGACTTAACATTAACTGACATTAGACTTAACATGAATTGATATTAGACTTAACATAAACTGATATTAGACTTAACATAGATTGACATTAGACTTAACATGAATCAAATTGAACTTAACATAAAATTAGAAGTAACATGAACCTCAGTTTAGATAACATGGAAATCAGTTTAGATAGCATGAACCTCAGTTTAAATTGGATAACGAGCAAAGGGGTTAAGTTCTTTAATTAAGAAAAAAAAACCTAGCACTTACTTTTTTTGGGGTTCGATTCGTTGGAACCATCCATTGCCGGTCTTCTTTTTTGGCCTTGACCTCATACTTCACCCCTTCGCATGACCAAAAGGTCATTCGATGCTTCCTCCGTGCTTCCAATCCCAGATGATTCACAGTATTCACCGTCCCTTCCATTCCCAGATGATTTACGAAGTGCGCCCGACGACTGTGATTTGGCTTCATCTTTCTCCTACCGTCCACCGCGATGAACGACTTCAAAATCATTAACTGATGCTTCCTTCGACGACATTTTCACGGCGTAACCCCTAGCCTAAGATTGAAATTCGAGATGGCAGAAATGGAGTTTGGGAGTTTTTGGTGGCTCCTCAACAGTAGAATAGAAAGAGGGAGAGAGTACTTGAGTGGGGAGGGGTGCGGTTACCGAGTTCGGTCAAATCAGATGGTGGGATTGTAACTTCAACTGGGCTTCTCTCTCTCTTAGCAACTTTGGGGTCTTAACACAAATACACAATGTATTTGGGGCTAAATCACATGGTCCAAAATACATAGTGCCAGGTCACACGGGCTTCCAATATTTGAGGGCTTGACACAATTTTCCCAATTTTTTTTAGGGAACAACAAATAAGTATTTATTAACCTAAAAATAAAAAAGAAAATATTACAATGTAGTTGTTACAGTTTATTAGCTTCATTGAAGCTATTTGACTATGATTATTAAAAAGTTAAATGAGCTTTTACTTCTAATATGCTAATTTGATTTGCTACTAACTTATTTAGTATTTTTAGATTAGTTTGGGATTAAAATGTATATGGACGTGGAGTATATCGTAAATGTTACAAGAACGATGTGCAATTTATAATTTCCCAGGAATGCAACCGCACCCCTACACACTATTTTAATCTGTCCCATCTTCAGCAGAATAATTATTTTTGGATTTAAAAATTATGGGATCAACTACCGGTTAAATTAAATGAGATGTCATCTTTGTTAATCTTTGATTTTAATAAAATCCAAAAAACTGGGGGAAAAGAACACAAGGTGATTTGCCTCATATTTGACCAAAAAACGGATTTTTGAATTTAAAAGTACTTTTTAATATGGATGACGGTCATCGAACAATGATTCATGAATAATTGAATGGTCACAATATATTACTAGTAAGAGAAAAGTATTCAATGTTCCTATTTCATTAATTAATTAATGTTGTAATAAAAAAGAATAAATTTTTAAAACAGACTCAAATCAACTTTTAATTACCAAAATCGACCCATTTTTTTAATTACCAAAATCGAGCCACTTTATGCCACGTAAGCTTAATCACATTTCCTAATTAGTTGTGGTTGTCAATCCCGATTGTTTAGGACATTAAAAATCGGGTTTAAGGTTTCTAATTGGAGTTTAACAATCTCCTAAACAGTCGGGGTTGGCAACCCCCGACTAATTAGAAAATGAGAATAAGCTTACGTGGCATAAAGTGGGTCGATTTTGGTAATTAAAAAAATGAGTCGATTTTGGTAATTAAAACTTAGTTTGAGTCTACAGTAAAAATCTGTTCAATAAAAAAATGGTTATTAGAAGCCATAAAACTCTATGCGATTGATCCAGCTGTTAACCCTAACCCTATGATTTATTCCATAAAAACCAAATCACAGCCGTCCGTTCAAAAACTAACCCTTCTGAATATAATAATAATAATGCACTCTCTCACTCTCCACTGTCCAAGCGGGACAACCTCAAATTTGAACTCGCTCTCTCTCTCTCTCTCTCTTCTTTCTCTCTCTAGAAAATGGAGCAGGCCTCATCAATGGCGGCGATGGATCCCGAGACAGAATTCCTGGCCTCGAAGAAGCAGAATGGCAACGAGTGGGAGCTGTACAAGGAGAACGTGAGGCCTCTGAAGCGAGGCCGAAACGTCGATCTCCTCAACGAGGCGCTCAGATCTCAGACCGACAACTCTCTCAAGAAATCTCTCCGCGAGAATCGAAGGTTTCTTGGATTTTCTCTTGGTTTTCTTGTTCTTTTTACAAATCTAGGGTTTTGGATTCGGCAAGCTTATGTTTTTTTTTGGGGGGTTTTGTTGAGATCAGGAGGTTGATTGAGGCGATTGAGGCGTATAAAGGGGAGGACCCGCTTCGGCCGTGGATTGAGTGAGCATTTTGTTTGGAGCTATGTTTTTTTAATAGTTCTTTCAGGTTTTGTAAACTAGGGTTTTGATTTAGGGGCCTTTTCTTGTTGTTGGTGGATAAACCAGGGAGTTATAATGTTCTGACGAAAAGAACCTTGGGAAAAAATGATTCTTTTTTTGCTAATATTATATCATTTGTTTGTATAAATAGAGAAGTTTTTCCATTGAGAAATTCAAAATTTAACTATTAGGGGGTGAACCAAGGGGAACTAGGGTGAATTAACTTCACCTCCTAAGTGTTCCCAAACAAGATGAATGGAGGTGAATGGTTCCCCTAACTTCCCTTCACCCTCATTCCCCTCAATCCAAACAAGCCCTTAGGGATTGAATTTTCCACAGCGGAGGGGGAGCCAAATTCCTTCGGGCCTGTTTGGATTCATAGGGGGTGAAGGGAAGTTAAGAGAAACTGAGTGAAGGGAAGGGAAGGGAAAGGAAGGGAAGGGAAGGGAATTCCCTTCCCCTTGGTTACACCCCAATTTGGGGGGTAACAATTTTTATACTATTAGGGGGTGAATCAAGGTGAATGGAGGTGAATTAACTTCACCTCCTAAGTGTTCCCAAACAAGGTGAATGGAGGTGAATGGTTCCCCTAACTTCCCTTCACCCTCATTCCCCTCAATCCAAACAAGCCCAAGCTAATTAAACTGGGTCTTAATATGGGAAGATTTTATGTGTCATATTATATATCATGCTAAATTGATTGAAGAATCTGATCTTGCAATGTCTGGTCTAATTTATTTCCATAAATTTCTTGCGCATCATTTGAGAATCAGGTTCATGTGAACTTCGATAACTCTTTCTTTTCCCTCCATTTGGACAGTGCAATATTGTCTATTTGCCATCCAAAATAAACCAAAAGGACGAGCAAGAAGAGGGCAAAGCCTTTGAATTAGGAGATTGAATATTAGCGATATCGCTGTACGACATTGTATTTAGTGAAATATATTTTGCCTATATGAATTCCTGCAAACAAACTGGACAGCAATACCTTAATTTTTTGTTGTTTCTGTTAATGTACGTATTCTTCTCATAGTACTTGATTACCCTGTTAGATATTCTAGGTATTTCAATTTTTCTATTGCACCACAAGTGGAGTGACTTGTCCAAATATTTTCATAGCAAACATTTTTTTCCATGAAATTTTATTCACTCCCAAGTTTCTACTGTTTCCCTATGAAGCTGTATCAAGTGGGTGCAAGAGTCATTTCCCACTGGAGGAGAGTGTTCAGGGCTAGTTGTCATTTACGAGCAGTGTGTCCGAACCTTTTGGCATGATGAACACTACAAAGATGATCTGCGCTACCTGAAAGTGTGGCTGGAATATGTGGGTGTCCTTGAACTTTCTGTTTTTTCATTTTTAATTTTCTTGATAACGGGATTAGAAGATTCGACTCTTGGTATGCATCTTTTTTACGATGGTTTGTTTCTAAATGACAGGCTGAGAATTGTGATGATGCTGAGGTTATATACGAATTTCTTGAAGCAAACCAAATTGGGCAGACCCATTCTGCTTACTATTCAGCATATGCATTGCTCATGGAGTCTAAGAATAAATTTAGAAAAGCTGATGATATTTTTAATCTTGGTATAGCTAGGTGAGCTTCTCTTGTAGAACTCCACCCTCAACTATTTTTATTCACAAGTAATTTATTTTCAATTAAACGCGACAAACAATATTATGGATCTTAGATGAGACAACTTAACCAAGATAATGTGCAATGTCAGTTGTAAACTACTGCATAGTGCCTGGTGGAACTAAAATGATAATGGGCAAATTTGCGCTTGTGTTCCACAGGATTTTGACTTTATGTAGCATTTAAATTAATCATTTTCATTTCTTTTTGTTCTCTGTTTTTGTTTGAAATATAATGATTCAACCCCTAAATTATTGTTTTTTTTTGGAATTAAAATTTTTCTCTTACCTTCTGTAAAATAGGAAGGCAAAACCACTGGAAAAGCTAGAAGCTGCATACAAAAGATTTCTTGTACAATCAACCAGAAAGAAGACAGTCAATGAAGTATGCCGCCTACCATTTGATGCTTTAGTTTGTTATCATAAATTATTTATTGGTTTCTTGCTTGGCACAGGACAATGCAGTAGATAATAACATGCCAAACCGCAGTTTTGGAACTGTTTTGCCTTCTGGAGGAGCACGTAGGTTTTCCTTTGGCATTGATGATTTTTAACTTGTAATCATGCTTGCTGATAATTCTTCTTGCAGGAAGACAGCCTCTGGAGAATCTGGAGAATTCCCTCTTCAGAAAGAATGTGAAGTTACAGAGGTAAGTCATTGCTTTATTTCACCAATACTTAAACCTGTCAAATTCGTTGCTATTGTTTTCAAGATTTTGTATCCTTGGAAGGTGGGGTATTGTTTCGTCTTCTCCCTTGCTTTTCTTTCAATTTAACTATTCATCGTAAGAAATTCTGTACGATGCTTCTTTGTTTTTGTTGGATGTTTTTGGTCAAAACCGCTTTCCAAAAATGAGTTTTCAAACCATGTATTTATTAACTACTGGTAATTTTCAGAAATTCTTAGTAGCGTAGCGGAAAGTTAAAGTTTTGATATCTCAAAGGTCTTGTGTTCGAGGCTTCCCAACGGCAAGCTGAGAATTATTTTTATTTAATTAATCCCTCATAAGTTCTAGTGGGCCATGGGCCGTGGGCTCGTCAGCCGTGGGTCAATGGATCGGGGATCGGGGCTAATTGAGCTGAGGCGCTAAGTGACGCTTTGTTAGGCGCACTTTGCACGAAGGCATCGGGGCTAAGTGACGCCCTTTGGCGCCACGCAGGACTGCTTCGCAGCATGCGGACGAGCCTCGTGTTCGCATGAGGGTGCAACCATCGCGTTCACAAGAGGGAACGCGACCCTCGCGTTCACGCGATGGACGCGACCCTCGTGTTGCACAGGATCGCGACCCTCACGTTTAGACGTTACTACACGCAGCAGTTACAACATTTATGTTATTTGCCATTACAAATATAATTGTCATAATTGCCATTATGTTTGTAACGGTCAAATTAAATGTGGGTGACCTTTGAGTTGGTTTTAGAGGCCTATATATAGTGCCTCTAGGGGAGCTTTTGAATACAAGAGATAAAAAAAGATACGAAAAACACACAAGTATTTTGTCTTGTTGTGCTGCTGCTGCAGAGTCTGAAAGCTTAAAATCTTTAGTCTATACCTGAAGGAACATAGCTCTGAACCGAAAGGTTTTTATAGATCAAAAGATCTTTATCTGAACCGAAAGATTATTGAACCGAAAGGTTTTAACAGATCGAGGAGATCTCTATTTGAACCGAAAGGTTATTGAACTGAAAGGTTTTAACAGATCAAGAAGATCTTTGCCTTGACCGAAAGGTCTAATAGATCGAGGAGATCTTAACAGTACTCACACCAGAGTACTGTACTGCTGTTCCTGAAAACAGTTTGGCATTGAGATCCTTGCACCGGAGTAGGCCAAATATTGCTTTAAGCACAGCGTTTCATAAACACACGGTAGCTAAACTTGAAAAAAGTTTTAAATTACAGTATTTCAGTTCTCACTATTTTATTACAGATTAAGCCACAGACACTAACAGTTTTATGAGCATAAATGGAATAATCGACTTGCCAAATAGCCTTCTTGGAGTTATGGCGAGCTCTTCTTTTATTTATATTCTCTAATTTTGCAAGTAGGTTTTTACCACTGTTCATTCTTTTATGTATATCTGAAACAGTGAAACAATATTTGAACCATGGTTGATAGATTTCTTATTTTTTTCATAGGAGTACTCTAATTATTCAGGTCTACTAATACTCAAACAGCTTTAGAATTTTTCTTACAAGCTCAGAATATGTTTCTTGCACAAAACTAGTGATACTTGACGCACTTAATTTATCTGCAGGACTGCTATCAATAAGCCACTTTCTATTTATAATGATGAAAACTCTGCATCAAGGCGTCAGCCTGAAAATCAGAAGAGCAATGGCAGTAGTTGGCACACACTTGGATCCCGAGCAGATAGAAACAAAGAAAACACCTCAGCCCCTACCGTTTGGTCGTCATACAAGGTTCTGCTTTGTCTGGAATTTTATTCAAGTTACACTTATGCACCATGCTATAGGTTACAAATATTGTAAGGTTCTGCTTTGTCTGGAATTTTATTCAAGTTACACTTATGCACCATGCTATAGGTTACAAATATTGCATCTGTCATTATTTTGATTCAAGTTACACTTATGCACCATGCTATAGGTTACAAATATTGCATCTGTCATTATTTTGATCAGGTTCCACATAAAACGGGCACTGGAGCGGTCCCAATACCTTCAAGCATGCGCATTGAGGTGTTTGTTGATGAGGAATCTGCAGAGTATGTTACCCTGAAAGTTGAAACCTTTTCTTAAAGTATTCAAGTTGAGACAAATCATTTATTTTCTCATGACACATTCAACAAAGCACTACAATGTTTCATATTTGTGCTTATTGACATGACTATATGTACTTTTTTAATTCTGTAAATAAGAATCGAGAGCATGTAGGATGCATCATTATAAACCTAGAGCAAATGAAATGAGGTATTACATTTATAATTGTGTATATTTATTTATCCAATTAAGGTTTATGCACAATGTAGAGATGAAAAAGTAATAGGAACCATGCTAAACCTATACATATTAATTTTATGGAAAAGATAGTTAGATAAAAGCTTTTTGTATGTGTTTTGGAAAATTGAATCATTAAAATTGGAATTCATTTAGCTACGTCTCAAGTTGAGACCTAACAAGGATGTTTCATTTTTGTAAAAGAACTGAGTACTTGTAAATATTGTACGACGTTCGCATCCCATATTCATGTTTTACCTCCTAAACTTTTCACAAAAAAAAAATTGCAGAGGTGAACAAGCAGTGGCGATTACCAAAAGCCCCAAGCCTTCTATATTGCAGCTCAGAAAAGCAAATAGCAAAAACCTTAAGAAGTAAGGATTAACAAATGACAATCCTTTATTAATTTCTCTTTCTAAGTTCGATCTTTCCAATGATCAATCTGCCTTGTACTTATTTGAGCAGGGAAACAGAATTGTTGAGAGAAAATCCGTTGCGCAATTTTCCTCGGTAATCATTCCTATCGTCTTCTCTAATGCAGTGTTCACTAATTATTGTTGTATTTGCCTTGTATTTTTATTTGAATGTGTTCTTGTCGTTCTTGTCTATGAGCTTTGATCTCTAAAGCTTGTATGAATATATGTTGCAACTTAATAAGGTGATTATTGTTGTTGTTATGCTACATTAACAAACTCGGTTTCTTGTTTTAATGCTTTGTTTCAATCTTGACTATGGCAAATGCAACCATAATTTTTAAAGTTTGGATAACAAATGTAATTGCCTTGGTACATTACTGCTATGCAAGTAGGCAAAGAATGACGACTGGCATCCCTTTATACATTCTCGCATATTATTTGAAGTGTATTAGATAACTGCAGATAGATAGATTCAAAAATAAAATTTTACCAGGAAGAAGCAGGGATATGGTTGAGTGAAAAGTATCCCTAGCTTATGACCAGGGATTAATAGAATTGATAATTAGGAATTATCACTTCTCTGCTATGTTTTTTTTATAGAAATATTATAGCCTCTCGCCTGCGTTAGGATGGGAAAACTCCCAGTAAAAGAAAAATAGCATTTTCCTTTAACTTCTTACAATTAACAAGCAAAGCATTTTGCTTCTTAGCCCTTTGTTTTCTTCATCCAATAAATGCATAAATATAATTCAATGTAGGGTGTGTAATTTTGCGGGGTTTGAACATGAAAAAAAAAAGAAGCCCAAATATTACTCGCTTGTTTCAAAATTTAAAAGGCTAAGGTTTCTGTGGTTTCATATTGTGAACAAATAAGCAACCAAACACTCTGAACAAATCCAACACTGTATCATATCATAACATACGACGAAAACAAATGAAAACAAAAGGAGCAACTCAATATTACATCTAACTCTAAACAAAACATTACATGACAACAAAAAGAGATTGAAATCAAACAACAACATAAGATTATTGGTATAAAACAATGAACACCAAAAAAATCTTACAAAAAGCTCGACCATCAGTAGTAGTTTAGGCCTTCCCATCAAACTATCATCATCCTCCAATCAATTAGACGCCAATGAACTCGTTCATCCAACCATCGACGATCAAAATGTGCGTGGTGGCTGCGGTCTAAACCCTACGACCGCTCACCCACCCCTGCCGGAAACCGATAATCTCCGGGACATTTCCGCCAAATTAAACAAGCCCCTCCCACCACGGCCTCCTCCTCCAACTCCGCTCTCGAAGGCATTCACAACCTCCTCACCCTCTCCTCCATCGGCAGCCTCTCATACATCGCATTCCCAAACACCGCCGGCCATCACCACCACGGCCCCACGCCATCAACGGCCCCACCACGCTCCCTCCAAGAACGCTGGCCCGGACACCGCCAGACACTAAAACCGTCAGCCCACCGGCCGGCCCCCGGCGGCGCAGGTGGGAAGCACGGTTCGGTCAACGACAGAATCTCAAACCTCCTCTCAGTGTCGCCGCCGCCGCGGTCCCAGGCTGCCGAAGCGCCACGTCAGCCACAGTCCTCGCGCGCGCTCAGAACACAGACCCCCCTCCCCCGCGGCGAGGCGTAGTCGGAGATGGACTCCCGCCACCGTCAGCGCCGGCGGAGATTTCGAGCATGTGGGACCCGAGGGAGTTAGGGCTGTCTGGGTGATGATTATTGGGGGCTTCGGCTTGTTCTTTTGACCGCGCCTGGTCTGCCACGTGGCCGGTCGGGTGGGAGCCGCTCGCCGAAAGGTGGTGATGGGTCGTTCCCGGCGGCGGAATTCCGACCGCATGGTTGGAATTTTCCACTCACTTAGTCGCCAGTTTTTGATTTTGATTTTTTTTCCCCCTCTGAAGGAAGATCGTAACTTGATGATGACCCTTTCGCTGCTTAGATCTGCTGATGAGATTAGAACAAGAAAGATTGGATTTTGACAGCTGGGTTTGCTGCACTCGTATGAAACCCACGCAGGACACAGTTTTCTCAAGAGAAAACCTCCGATGGGAAAAAGAAAAAGAAAAGGAAACTATAAATTCAGACAAAACTGAAGACGACCCATTTTCTTCTCTAACTTAATTATGAGTCTGGAGGAAAAAAGATGAGATTTTTTTCCCACCTAGGTCAGTTGACAGAAGCGATAGCTTGAAGCTTCAACTCGAGTTTCAGTCTTCGGCTTTTAGTTTTGAGAGCGAGAGAGAAGCGGTGGAAAGCGTGCACAGGTGTATAAAGTAGGAAGCAACGTCATAGGGGCACACGGAGGAGTAATATATTTTTTAATAGAAAATAAATAAAATTGAGAACATGTTACTATTTTTAAATCATAAAAATGTCATTAGTCGCAGTTGTTTAAATTTAAATATCAAGTATTAGTCAGAGAAGACGAGGAGCGGTTTAAAAATTGAGATATATAGATTAAATTAATAGGGGGTGAGTAATAAAGAATTATAAGTGAAAGATTATTGTATTGGAACTACTATATTATATATGTTTATGACTGTTTTCTTATTGCAGATTGCAGGCTTTGTATCTGTTTGTGAATTTTTTATGAGGTATGCCTTTAGTACATGTTAGGTTATAGTTATTGTTATAAGATAAGGAGATGCGATTAAAGGTTTCATGTGATCTTTTTAACCTAACATGTGAGATCACCATTGTCCTTTTGTAATGGGGCTCAGGCTAATATAAATTTAAGTGCTTCCTGTTTCTTTTTAGTAGTTGATTAAGGATTTACAAAAAGGTTCAGACGAAAGTTTATATACTACTCATAAAACCATATCATAGGGTCTATACATATTTCTAAAAAGGTTAAAATAACATTTTAGCCTATAAAGTGACACCCACTAATCGATACGGCCTATCGGCAATAATAACACCTATAAATTAACACACTTAATCTTTTATTGTGCCCAAGTCTCCATAGTTCCAATTTGTGGGGAAATTATGGATTTTTGCACATATACCCCTCGTATTTCTTACATTTGCTGATTTGCCCTCTAAAATATCTCTCCCAATCATCTCCTTCATCCTTCTCTTCTCCCCTCTCACACACCCCGCTTTCTCTCCTTCCCACGATTACTCCCTCTCCCATTTCTTCCTTCCAAACTCTCTTTCTCTCTCTCTCATTTGCTTCATCCTCCTCTTCTTTCCTTGCTTACTTCCTCTTCCCCTTTCTCCTTTCGAAAATTCCCACCCTCACCTCCTCCTCTCCCTCCTTCTCCATTCATGTTTCTCTACTCAACCTTTCTCTATTCTCTCATCTCAGTATTCTCTTCCTCTTCCCTCTCTCTCCTCTCTCCCCTCCGACATTAACTAAAAGTGGAGAAGAAAGTGGAGGAAGGGGAGGAGAGAAGTGGAGGAGGGAAGAGAGGGGAGCTAGTGAGGAGAGAGAGGTTGAGAAGAAAAAGAGAATTGAGTTTTTCTGCAAATATTTTAATTGAGAGGTTAAATCTATAAGTTTGAGGGATATGAGGGGTATATATGCAAAAAAATTATTATTTTTCCACTCAAATCTAAACTCTAACGAACAGAATAGGTGTAAATGGTTAAGTGTATAGGCGTCATTTTATAGACTTTACTAATTAGAAGGTGTCATTTTATAGGGTAAATTGGTGTTTTAGCCATTTCTAAAAAAATTTAACGGGGAAGAATTAGACACCCCTCCTTCAAAAAAAAATAGTCTAAGTCAATCAAAGACACCGAGTTCCCCGGCCCCACCAACAAATCCAGCTGTTGGTCCTCCCCTCCTCTATTTTCCATACCCAAGAGCTCCCAATACCCTCGGGACCCGCTTCGGTGGGTCCCGTTTCCACACAGCCGACCAACCAGAATCCAAAAAAGAAAACAGGAAGGGAAGGAGGAAGAAGAAGAAGGAGAAGGAAAAAAGATCCCGTGCATGAGCAAGAAAATAAAAAAGATCGAAGAAGTAGCCCCTCAAAGAACAAGAAGGAGGAGGAGGAGGAGGAGGAGGAGCGCGCGAAGGCGGATGAGGGAGGGGGCGGTCACCTCCCGAACCTAGCTAGCTTCATGTAATCGTGAAGGAGGATGAGCCTCGTTCCTTCATCTTCATCCTCCTCCTCCTCCTCCTCCTCGCTACCCAAACACTACTCTTCTATGAAATCACTGCCCTCTTCCTGCGTCTCCCTCCACCTGCCTCTTCTCCGTCGCCGCCGCCTTCTTCGTCGTTCAAATTCCAAATCGCACTCCTCCTCCTCCCGCCTCCTCCTCGCCTCTGCCGCCGCTTCCGGCCTCCTCCCCTCGGCCTCAACACCCTCTGGCCCGTCCGCCTCCTCCTCATCCTCTTCTCCTGCCTCCTCTCCCTCTCCGAGCTCCTTCCGCCTCCCCCGCCCTCGTCCTCTGGCAACGACCGCCTCCCTCTCCTCCCTCTCCTCGCGGAGCCGCCTTCCTCTCGCACCCTCCTCTTTCCTCCTCCGCTCCTCCGTCAGGCCCCCGGCCTCCTCCTCCGCCCCGCGCCGCCGCTTCCGTCTGCCGCCGCGGCGCCGCGCCCTCCCCTTCCTGGCCCTCCACTCGCCGTCCTCTTCTTCTCGCCCTGGGTGTTAGCAAGGCTCTCGCCTGCCCCCCGACTTCCTCCTCCTTCCGCGGCGCGCCGCAGCTCCCTCACGCCCTGTACGACGCGCTGCTGCTGGCGCTCCTCGCCGGCGGTCTACGTCCCGCTGTTCGTCTCCGCCCTGCTCGAGCGCGGTCGCGGTGGTGATCAACAGGAGGCTGCGGGTCCGTCTGTACTCGCTGGCGGCGACGGTGGTGGTGGCTCCTGGCGGTGCAGGTGACGACGCTGGCGAATGCGTCGCCTTGTGGAGGCCGGGGAGCGGCCTCTGCCCAGGTGCTGGACGTGGCGTCCTACGCGGCGGTGCTGACGTGCGCCGCCGTGGGGCAGGGGATACTGGTGGTGCGTGCTGTGGTCGACGCGTTGGCGATCATCGAGCCAGGAGAAGGACGCGCGTGGGGCCCGCGGAGAGGAGCACGGCGAGACGTTTGACGAGGTGTGACGAGGGCGGGGGATCGAGGGGGGACGGTGTCTTTCTTGTTTGGTCGTCGATTATTGTATTTTGACACGTGCAGTTCAATTTTATGTGGATTGTGTGTTTTTTTCCCCCGTCTACCCCCGACTTATACATGAAGATCGATATTTTTATATTTAAAAAAAAATCTCGTGTTGCATCGCAAGTTGAGTATAATCGCGTGAAGCTTTGAGATATAATAATAATAATAAAGTTAAAAAAGACTCAGACTTGGAGAAATTAGAGTGAAAACGACTCTTAAAATAAGGGGAAAATGCATTTTTAATGTTAACTTCCTCAGTAAACCCAAAAATATACCACAATTATTATGATGCGTTTTTTGTTGTAAAACAAGTGCCTGTTTCCCATTGGGCCCACCAGGATGATTGGGTAGATTTGCTCTTTATTACTTAAAAAATGGGACGGATAAGATGCGAGCCTCTAATTTTTACAGTAGGGATTCTATCAGAACCGTCCCCATAGAAATAAGTATATATACACAATTGATTCAGTAGCTACAAGTCTAAAATTAACCCTTTAATCATCCGTGAATGATATATATCACCCCCTATTTTATAGAGTATTTTAGTAGAATCATTGCTCTAATTTTTTGACTTTTCTTTAAGAAGTTGAGTGCTCCATGTAAGGGCCTTTAACTCGGGCTCTTTCTCAGGGCCTAACCATGTCTCATTTGTTGGAAAAAAAAAGTATATTGCTAAATTTTATATTAGGACAAAATCATCATTTCCCCCATAAAATATTAGTAAACTCTTAAGTTGCTCCTTAAAATATTAATTTATCTATTTTACTTCTTAAATTATATTTATGATTTTAATGTGGTGATTTTGTGAGTCTATAATCAAATATTTAACGATTAATAACATAATAATCTTTTTATAGTTCTTCTCGGCATTTTATCAGCTTATCCCTTTTTTCCAAACTAAAAAAAATGTTTTAACTACTTTCTCTCAAAACTTTTTGATCATTTAACCCTCTTTATGGATTAAAAAAATTATTTTTTAGATTGCAAAAAACTATAAGAAATGCAAGAAAGCCAACATATCATTAATCTATTATATTTAAGTGTAGGCTCACAAAATAATCGCACTGACACATACACATAATTTAAGAGGAAAAATAGGTAAAGTGATAATTTAGTAAGCAACTTGAAAGAAATGATCATTTTATTCCTTCTATTTATTAACTCTTGTACGCTAGGCCGGGCCCAGAATCTCAATTAGGCCCAGGATATATTTCCGACAAAGCACAGAAAATGAGCTAAAGGCACAGGCTCATTAATTACTTATCATTTGTTACTTCGTTTTCTTTAAAAATTTAATCTTTTTTCTGAGAGAGAAAAATAGGGGAGGAGAAATTAAGAGAGAGAGAGAGAGAGAGAGATGGAGAAGGGAGCAGGAGAGAAGAAGAGGGTAGTTTGTGTGACTGGTGCAGGGGGATTCATTGCCTCATGCCTCACCAAGCTCCTCCTCTCCAAAGGCTACACTGTTCACGGAACTGTCAGAGACCCAGGTGCTCATTTTCCCCCCCTCTCCATCTGTTAATTACGTGCAAGCTGGGTTTTTTTCTTCTAGAAATTTATGATCTTTCTTGCCGTTGTGAGTTTTGTTTCTACGCCCTTTTTGTTGATTTTATCACCCGGATCAACTTTCTTACTCTTTGTTGAATTGGGGCCTTGGAATATTGAAAGTTTTTGGAATTTTCTGATCGGTTTTGTTTGGATTGTTATTTACAGTGAATATCGGAATATATGCTTGACTAAAATACTCGGTTGTTGGACTTATTTGAAGAGATTTTTTACAAGGGTTTCTGTTTAATTTGATGGGCTCCTGTGCCCAATGTTTTCCCTGAATTCCTGCCTCTTTTACCATTGGTTTTCCCAATTTTTTCACCCTGGTCAGGTTTCTTTGTTTTTGTTGATTTTTGTTTTTGTTTCAGGTGGGGTCTTCAAATAGTAAAAGCTATTGAAATCTCCTTATGGGTTTCGTTCGAATTGACTATTGCTTTCGATTACTGCAGTCTTGGTGCATATTACTATACATTTGAGACCGATAAACTTTGATTTTCTTAACATTATGCAGCCTGGTTGAAAAATTACGAGCTCGTTGAACTTGTTGGAGAGATTTGTGTCATGGGTTTCTGTTTTACTTTTTTGAGTTCATCTTATGATATCAATTTTACCATTCACTGAACTGTTTTTTTTCCTTTTAGTTCTTATCTTTTTTCTGTCTCTTGGGCACTTAAATTTGTAACTATCTTGTGAAATTTCAACATGATTTTGTTGGATCATGTCTTTGATTTCCTTTTTAACATCTATGCAGTTGGATAAAGTTAAGTTATATCATGATTAGGTACCCATATTTAAACTAGGGAAGTTTGGGTATTGACTTGACCATAATAATTCTAGAACACAAGGCTATTGATCAAGGGTATTTATCTTGTATTGTATTTTAGTGTGTAGATTATATTGAAGTATTGGATTTTGAAACTTATTTGGACTGAGGCTGACATCATTCTCTGATTAGAGCCAGGAAATCTCGTCATATACAGTTCAGCTCTTTTATGCTCTGCATTTCTCTGAACAAATTGTTCCAGGTGATGAAAAGAATGCTCATTTGAGGAATTTAGACGGGGGATCAGGCAACCTACAGCTTTTTAAGGTAGACTTGCTTGACTACGATGCTATTGCTTCTGCTATTGCAGGCTGTGAAGGAGTTTTCCATGTTGCTAGTCCCGTTCCTTCAACCAAAGTGCCCAACCCTGAGGCAAGATTTTAAATTTTTTTTTTATAAATACACCAGTCTACTGAGCTTATGCATTGCGAATAGTTTATATGTTTTTCTTTTAAGGATATTTTTCTGTATTGTATCAGCTCTATCCTGCGTTTCTATTGGAATTGATGTGGAATTGATGTGATGTAGCTGCATTAACATTCTCTTTGAGCATAATATCTGTGCTCACATTCATCAGGCAACTAAGAAACATTGAATTGAACTCATATCTAGGATTGATAAAACCTTATGATCAAAGAAGATTCTAAAAGTTTATCAAATTCCAGTTGTAGCATATGCAGGTTAATATATGCTCTTCTCCTATGGACTTTTAAATCTTTGAATTACATGTGAAACACGAGTTACACGATTTGCTTTTACAGCCTATATAACCGTCACATTTTCCCCAAAATTCTTTTCAAGATTCTATTTCTTGAAGTCGCTTCCACTGTGCGAAAATTCCAGAGTTATGACTAGGGTTAGGGGTTAGTTTTATGCTCTAACAGCATTTCCATAAATTGAGCATCCTTTTTTGTGGTTCAAAACTTGCAGTTTTGTGCAAATAATTCTTTTTAATCCTTTCGTACCTCTCTTGAACTCTCTCTACTATAAATAACTTAGAATTCAGATCTCTAATAACAGTTTACACTGGGACATTCCAAACTATGACAGCATATCAGTCATATGTTTTCAATGACAGGCAAATACCTTTATCAGACGAAGCTGTCTTGATGCCCAAAATATATTGCAAATGTCCAAGTTCCACAGTATGAAACTTCTGCATGATTTGGTAGCTTTTGCTACGCTCTTTGCTAACTATGATGAATTTGCAGGTAGATGTAATTGCTCCAGCTGTGACGGGCACTTTGAATGTACTTAAAGCAAGCTCTGAGGCTAAAGTTAAAAGAGTAGTTATGGTTTCTTCTGCAGCTGCAGTTCGAATGACTCCGAACTTTCCAATAGATAAGGTCATGGATGAGGATTGTTGGTCAGATAATGAATATTGTAAGAAAACTGAGGTAATTGGCATGCAATACTCCAAATTTGGAAGAGCCAAAGGCCATAAATAATTTATTTTCTCAAAGCTTGACACACTGATATGCACCACTTACTACATTGGCTTGCCTCATGAATAACTCTTATATTATGGTTGGTATTTATGGTTATCAGTATCGTCCTCCTTTGAAAACTAAATTAATGGTAACTCCTGTATTATCATGGAACTTATTGGCTGGCGAGTTTTTGAACTATTATCTCTTGCAATTTTAGCTAGTTAAAATGCTTTTAGCTAGTTAAAATGCACTTGTGGTTATTACTTATCAACTCATTATTGTTTCAGAACTGGTATTGCCTTTCAAAGACAATGGCGGAGAGGGAGGCTATCACGTATGCAGAAAAACATGGGCTTGATCTTGTGACTGTTTGTCCATCTTTGGTTTTGGGCCCCCTGCTCCAGTCAACAGTGAATGCTAGCAGCTTGTTTCTTGTCAACATATTGAAAGGTGTGTCTTTATATTACCATTATGATTGTTTTAAATTGATGGCTTTTTTTAATATTAGTTCCTTAAATCTTTCATGTTTTGAATCTCTCAAATCATTGAAATTGCCGTTAGGCCCCCCCCTCCAAATTCTTAAGTTATTTTGAAATTAGTCCGTCTGATCAAGAATTGGAGTAGCAATTAGTGGGATTAATTTGAAACAACTCATGAGAATTGGGGGACCTACTCCCAATTTTAATAATTTGAGGGGCTAATTTCAAAGTAACTTGGGAATTGGGGGACTTAATAGCAATTGCAATCATTTATAGGAATAATTTCAAAATTTGAACGACAAGGGACTAATATAAAAAAAAAGAACCTAAATTGATAATATTGTGTGGGTGTATATGCATGCATATGTTGCTTCTCAACTCCTAAGTGATTATTCTTGCATGGTTCACTTGATTCAACTATAGATAGACAATCATGTCTACGCGCTAACTATATTTTTATTTGAAATTATTTAATGGAGTGAGCCTTCCTGTAAGAGATCATACTTTATATTGTTCTTACCTAGGCTGTAACTTTTAACTTGAATTTTCTGTTTTCCAATCACTTAATTCAATATCCTTGCTATGATTATTCAGCATACCGAGTTGGTGAGTTATGCATTACCTAAACTGTCCAAAACTATTACTCATGCTCTTAACTTCAATAACTGCATTGCGATATGCTTCTCCCTTTGATATAGCTGGCTAACCTTCATGAATGCTAACTCGGGTTCTTGCTTTAGAGATGGCTATCAGATTTCTGTTACGATATCATGAAACATTAGAATAGTATTCTTGACATTTTCTTTTTTGCAATATAGCAACACCAGACAATTTAATGCATCATGTTACTTCCATTTAGTACTATTGAGGTTCATCTCCTCTAATAAGCTAGTTATTTTCATATCCTTCTTATTTCGTTCTAACCAAGTCCTTGTCTATCTCTAGTCCTCCTTGTCTCAATCTTGTACAAATACACTTATTTTTCGTCATACCTCTTAGTGCATCTCCACAAAATCATTGTAACATCCACATTTTCACATTTCTTATCATATTCTCATTTGATAATTAAGAATTCCTTTTTCGTGTTCCTTCCAATCATGATTACACTACAGGAAAGCGTGAATCAATGGACAACAGGGTCAAGCATTTTGTTGATGTTCGAGATGTCGCTGATGCACTTCTTCTTGTATATGAGAAGCCTGAAGCATCTGGTCGCTACATTTGTGCACCAAATCCGATAAATATCCAGGAATTCATCGACATTCTAAAGAGCATGTACCCGAACTATGACTACCCAAAGAAGTAAGTTACTTTATCAAAATTCCAATATTAATGCATTTTTCTGTGGTGCATTTATTTTGATATTATGTTAAATTGCAGGTTCCCTGAGATAGATGATACCAGTGATAAAGTCCATATGTCTTCAGAGAAATTAAAGAAATTGGGATGGAAGTGTAGGCCATTGAAGGAGGCCATTGTGGATAGTGTTGAGTACTATAAGGAGGCTGGTATTTTGAATAAGGATTAGAAAGAAAAAGTTAATCAAGAGATTAATCTTGTTACTTAGTTATGATAATACTATGTATTTGACTTTTTTACTTTGTAATGACATGTTTTTGCTTGTGTTATGTGGAGATTATGGGTTTCTGCTTATGGTATGACTAGTATTGCTTCATCAAGTACTGGTTCCAAGTTTATGAGAACTTATCATATGTTGATAGATTGGAAATAATACCATCAAAAGAGGAAAACATTTGTATTTAATATAATTTGTTCCATTCTTTGGTCTAGTTTGTACTTCCTGTCACTTGCTCTGTTCTGTGTTATTAAAAAAAATTGTTTATGAAATATGTTTGGGATTTTCCTAAAGTTTGCCTTGAAAAGAAAACAGAGTAGGGTAATTAAGGGTTTTGCTAGGATATTCTACAGCATGATACATACTTGTATTTTTACACTTTATGCACGTGTAATGCACGTGGTTAAATATTATGATTAAGTATAATTTATTTCCTTAGTGAAATTTGTTGCTCGGTTTTACTTTGATGGTTTTTGCTCATGTATGCCTCTACACTTTAGCATTGCGATTAGTTATTTTCTTTACAGTTTGTTTAAATGAGCTACACTCAATTTGAACTTTCATGTTGATAATTAAATTGACAGGAAATAAATATAATCCGAAGCCAATGTGAATTATCATGTTATTGAGACCGACGTGAAACCAAGCTTGACCCAAGAAAGTATAGTGTTGCAAAAGTGAAAAACACTTTAAAAAATAGCGTTCTAAAAGGAAGATGAATAATTAAAGCTAATAAGATAAGATGTTTGGTTAAAAGTGGGCTAAAACGATACAAAAGAGAATATGAAGTTTGTTTCCAATCCTTGATGGACTTTAAAAAAGTATAAACTAAAGATTAATGTTAGCTCTAGTACACTTTTATTTGATTAAAGCATCACATAAACATATAAAAGTATTAAAAAGATCCACAAAAATCCCTTCTAAAAATTCCTTATTTACTCAAAAGTATAAACTATTCTATAAAATATTCAAAAAACAGTGTCTTTCATTTCTTTTGTTTTATTTTTTATTGAGACGACATCAATACTTCTCCACCTTTATTTTTTTCAATAAAATTAGAATGCTTTTAAATGCTAAAAAAGGATAGTAAAACCTTAAATTGGAAGTCAAATATATATATTTTAATCAAAGAATATCAAATAACTATTCTTTTCTTTGCTAAGTTTTGAAAATTATGTCTTTTTTGTGACTTTGAATTTTTGAGGGTGTGTTTTGTAATTTTTATAACCTTGAGACCGTTTTTGAAAACTTTATAATTTTTAAGTTAGGTGTTTGTAGTTTTTATATTTCATGTGTTGGTGGTAAATTTTCGAATGTTACGATATTTTTTACAACTCTAAAATTTTGAGGTTTTTTTGCATTATTGAAACTTTGGATTATTTGTTGTAAAATTTAAATTTTTAGAGGTCTGCTAATAATTTTCGGATTTGATATGTACTGATTATAAGTTTTTAAATTTTAGTTTTCTTTGTGCTTTTTAGCTTTTGAAGGAGTTTTTTATCTAACTTTTATAACTTTGAAGTTATGTTTTAAAAATTTAAAATTTTCAGTGCTTGACAGTAATCCCTTGAATTCATCTTTATTTTGTAAGTTTTGAAATTTCAGAATTTTAAGGTGTTTTTTTCTTAATTAAACTTTTGAGTGTGTTTCCATAGTTTTAAAAAAGTTGAGGGTGTTAATTATAAATTTTAAATTCTTCAGAGGATGGTGCTAACTTCTAGATTTCATGTTTGTTGTTTTAAGTTTCGAAACATCGGGTTATTTGTGTGATTTTAAATTTTAAGGGTATTTTGTGCAAATTTTAAAACTTTTTGGTTTTTTTTGTAATACGTCATATATTATAACATATTAGTTCTTCACCTTAACAAACTAATACGGTGGAGCTATTTCATCTATTTTATTAATCTAATTTTAAAAAAAATTATTGAGCTATAGGTAATTCATATGAGATTAGGATATGATATAATTATGATTAGGATATATTAAAATTTAAATAAAATATTCAAGATAGTCAAATGTAATATTGATTATGAAAAGTTTTTTTCGAACTCGTACTTTCAAAAAGAGTATATATATAGTATTAGTATATATTATATATATATATATATATATATATATTACTCTTTTTGAAAGTACGAGTTCGAAAAAAATAACTATATTATATATAAATATCATATATATATATATATTTATAATATATAATCATATATATATATATAATAGTATATATATATATATATATATTAATTACTATTAGTGGAAGCACACTATTCCCACTATCCATCTTAAGTGTGACACATATAGTTTTACTCTATAATATATATATATATATACTATATATATATATATATAATATATATATATATTATATATATATATATATATATATATATATTCGAAGTATATGATAATAAAATTTGAAAATTGTAATCCGGCATATATAGTACGGTTGTAAAGTATAAATTATAGTTGCTATTTGCGGTACATCTCTCAAGCATCTATCTCCTATATTATTCCTAGTTCTCAAATCAAAAGGTTTTTTTTTATAAATCTTTTGCACGGGTCTTCTCCCTGAATGAATTGATGAAATTAACCTGAGAAGCTCATGTTTACTACTAATAATGTCCTAATTGTGCAAATCAATCGAATGATAAATTAGCTCTCTCACTATACATTATCTTTGATGGATAATAGAAGTCATGATAATTGTTAATTCGATTTTTCAGCATCCTAAGCCTAAATTCTTGTAACTTGACAGGAAAGGAATTCAAATTAAACCAACCAGCTCAACATATTAAATAGCTAAAAAGATATGAAACTTGACTATTACTATATATTAAAACAACTTTCACTCGTGGCTTAAATGTGATAAGTAGCAGGTTTTTTAGTCTCTAATTTTTTTGAGGATACCATTCACTAAATTTTTTGCTCAGCTTTCCTATATTATGCATTATATCTTTACATTCATCCTATCAAAATTCTAACACTTTCTAGTGAATACGCCATTTCTAGTGGATATCCTATTCTACAATGAATTTACAAGCTAAAGTGGATTACTAGCTAAAGTATTTGGTAAAAAAAGTGGATTATAAGATACATTTAAGAGATTGTTTGGCAGATAGGCGGATTATAATCCGTCATTATTATTAAAATAAACAAAAAGATATGATACTAAGTTTAAACAGCAGAGCATAATTAATACAAGTTTTCTCGGAATTTAAATTAAATATATTTTATAACACATTTCAGCTTTAATGTAAGGTATTTATTTATTTGACTAATGATAAAACCAAAATTATAAGAGTTTATTATATTAATCATGCTTTGAAAGTGTCTTAAATGTTAGGGGGTAAACTTGATATTTACTTGACCAAACTATATAGCTCGTAAGCCACCAAAAAAATAAGTTGGGTTACAGAAATTCCTTTTAGACTTGTAACTTATAAGCCATGGTAAGTCGGTTACCAAACATAGTATAATGACTTATAAACCACAAAAGAGGCGTATAAGCTAGTCTGATGATTTGTGAAATATGCTCTGAGCGCTGCTACAGGGACCCAAAATATGGGACCAAAGGGTGGGACTAGTGATGTGTCCCTCCCCTATTGGATAATGAGTTGGCAATGAGTTGGTCATGCCAACTCATTATCCAATAGAGGAGGGACACATCACTTGTCCCACCCATTGGTCCCATATTTTGGGTCCTTGAAACTCATTATCCAATAGAGGAGGGACACATCACTTGTCCCACCCATTGGTCCCATATTTTGGGTCCTTGAAGCATTAATCAAATAATAAACATAGACTCAGAAATTGCAAAAAACCCCCATAATATTGATTTGAGAAAATACTGGATCCTCGCCACGCTGGCGCTCTCTCTCTATATATACACACACAGCATTTATGATTCATTCATTCAGTTACCTATTTCTGTTCACGAGTACTGTAGTCTGTAGGGTTCTGAGGTTCTCGCTCTCAATAATTTCCCCTCTCTCTCTCTCTCTCTCTCTCTCTCTCTCTCATCCCTCTCTTCATCAAATTCCAACAAATTATGTCATGTTTCAGGAATCTGCAACAAACCCATTTCTCCTTTAGCCAAATCCTACCTCCTACCCTCAAAAAGCTAGGTTTTTTCTGACCCCATCTCCTCTGTGTTGCATGATCCCTAGGTTTTTTCTAAGCTCGTCCTAATTCCCCTCAATTCTCCATCAAGTTCCCTCCTTTTGCTCTTGAATTCGATCTCTGCTCATGGCGTATCCTCATCATCTCTTGAATTGCCCTTTTGGGGACACGACCTTCACCAAAGTCTTCGTTGGGGGATTGGCTTGGGAGACGAAGAGTGAAACCCTAAGGAGGCATTTTGAACAGTATGGAGATATTTTCGAGGCCGTCGTGATCTCCGACAAGAACACGGGGAGGTCAAAGGGCTATGGTTTTGTGAGTATTCCTTCATTTGGGCCTTGCTTGGTTTCTGATTTTACTGTAGGAATGTTGAATAGTTTGGGGTTTTATTGAAATTGGGATATTTTGTGTGGAGGGTTTTAGGTGACATTTCGTGATCCTGAGTCTGCGAGGAGGGCGTGTGCTGATCCTAGCCCGGTTATAGATGGGAGACAGGCTAATTGTAATTTGGCGTCATTGGGTCGGCCAAGGCCAGCAATTCCTTATTGTAGGTTATACTTATGTTGGTTATGAAAGTTAAATCTTGAGTAAATCTTAGCACTTGCATTGCATTATTATAATTTGTTGTGACTGATGTTCGTTGTAGTCTTTTTGTGGTATGGACATCTTATTAGCATATAACCGAGTTGCTGACTTATTTGTCGTTGTGCAATTGATTACTTGACGTCATTAGATGAGCTTTTGTACATTATGCTGCTTAATTTAATAAAGCAGTGAATTGGGCCGAGATAAATAATATTTTTTCCATAAAAGATGTCTCATTGATGCTACCCAAATCAACATAGCATTATTAGGTGAAGGTCACAATACTATCGTGATCTTGTAGTGATTGTTGCATCTCATCTTAAAATGTCAAGAATCTGATGTCACATAGTTGGTTTGCGGATTTATTCAGTTTAAGTAAAGTGATTGCAATATCAGGGTCTAATAGGAGAGGGGAAAAAATCTTTATCTCATGTGCATTTTCATCCAATTTGTTACTTTTAACTCGTAGAAGGTTCATTGTGCATAAAAAATGAATGCGACTGTACATATAGAAAATTTATTTATTTTTGGATATTTGGAGACAAATTTAATCTTCGTTAATGTAATTTTTTGTTCTTTCTTTTTTGCAGCACAACTGAGGCCTCCAGGTCCGTACTTTGGAA